GAAGGACTCTGAGTGGCCCAGATTAGGTCACATGCATGCTCCCGAATCAGTTACCTTGCTCAGGGGGATCAGGTACTGTGTGTGGCCAGGCCAGGGAGTTCTTTACTTGGCAGGTTCATCATCAAAATGATCTGACCATAGAGGAGAAAACATCCTCTGACAAAAACAGCAAATGTTCAGTACAGTCCTTACAGGACTGTACAGTCCTTACAGTCTTCACATGTATTGGTCATACAAACAGTGTTAGGGAAGGGAGGAACCTGGTTAAGCCAAACAAGGTACTCTGTGAAGCATGGGACTCATAAGGACTCCTAATTCATAACAGAGATACATGTTCCATGATTCTGTCTAGGACGGAAGTGAACTCACAGCAGATACAATCCCATTTGCCCAGTCTTTTAGGTCTCGTAATGCACGAAGTTACTCATTAAATGGCTAGTTTATTCACTTTAATAATCACTGACTGTCCCTGAAGTGTTCAATCAAAAATTAAGGTGTTTGAATAGTGAATAATCTAATCATCTAATATAGGATTAAAAATACTACAACAGTCTCAGCTGATTGTTTTCCATTTCTAAAATGAGTTGGTTATAATAAACAGCTATAGTGAGAAACCAGAACCTGTATGGGATAGTTATATTATTATATATTATATATATTTAATATTATATATTAAACCCATCTCTTAAAACATTAACCAGCATATCTCCCCTGAATATTTTGTCAAACAAAAAGCATTAGGATGTTGTCGCCCACCACTCTATTAAATGATGGGTTCCTTAATAAAAATAAAAAGCCCGGCCTTCGCACAAACAGGAGGACAGTATAAGTCACTGCCTTATATGAGTGGACATAGTGATGTTCCCAGAACAAGTACTATCACTTCAGGGCACTAAAGAGTACTTTCTAGGTGCTAGTATGGCAGTGGTAATCAACTAGGAGCGCTTTTGCCTCCAAGGGCATATTTGGCAATGTATGGACACAATGTTTGATCATCAGGACTGAAAGACTGGTGCTACTGGCATCTAGCAGGTAAGGTCAGGGATGCTACTAGATATTCTGCAGTGTGGGTGAGAGTCCCCCACAATAAAGAATTAACTGAACCAAAATGTCAATAGTGCTGAAATTAACACACCCTGGTCTATAGCAAGGTGAAGGCAGAAAGGCGATGTTTTAGACACAACTTTTGCCCCTGATAAATGTATAATCTACTCGGGGGAGGGTAAGATAAAGAAATAACAGTGAACTCACTGTACAATTTGTAAGTGCTGGTAACAAGGCCTTTACCACGTGTGCCCTGCACAGCATCAGGTGCCACAGAAGGAAGAGCCACTGCTGGGTTCTACATCAGAGCACCCTTCATACTGGTAACCAGGTAGATGTGAAGGATTTGGACAAGCAACCAGGAAAGGATATTTTGTGTAGAGGGTAAGAGGGAGGCAGAAATCCAGAGATGAGAGAGAGCAGTGTCTTTTCAGAGCAGTTAAATAACGAGCCTGGCTCTAGCAGGATGAGTGTGGTGAAAAACTCAAGAAAAGATGCTTTCACCTTCATGTGAAATAACATAGCCAAGGGAGTCCTGGCTTTGGTGCATTTTGGCTAGATAGGTTGGGAGCTGTAAAACCGGGATTCCTCTTACCTTACAGCTGTTGCTAGAAAAACTAGGCACTAAAATGCCTGCCACACAGTAGTATTCAAAGGATGGCGGCTCCTAGAACAAATATTGAGAGAGACAGGTTGAAGATGAACTTTAAAAAACAGGCTATGGATTTACATTTCCCCCGCAAGCTTGAGGAGTCGTTGGACCTCAGTGTGTAAGGGAGTGACAGGAGGAAAATAAACCTGCAGATTAATCTGAGTCTGGGTGGGTACTACACGGGTGGTCATTGCACAATTCTTGTGGCTTATCTGAATAGCTAATGTTTTTTCAAAGTACTGTTTTTTTTTTTCTCCTGAACTTTCTGTTCCCCCTGTACGAATTAAGGCTCCATGAAAAACAAGTTCTCTGTGTGATCGCTGTTATATACTTAAACAGTACGTGGCACACAGTAGATGATCACTAAACAGTTGTCAAAGTCCAGCCACAAAAGAAAAAGGGCCAGAACCACGCAGTGACAGTTCGGGTGGGAAGGCAGAAACATATATCAAAGACTCCCAAAAGCAATATTGATAGAATTCGGTGATTTAGGGATAGACAAACAGCTTTGAGAACTCAAAAGTGATGGAAATTCGGTGGACTCATTTCTAGTTAATTTAGAAGACATGCTGATTTGAGCAAAAATAAATTGTATTTTGAATACATTAAGTACAGAACTAAAACCTGACAGAAATTTTCCAGTTTAGCTACTGGAGACTGCTGAGGTTAGCAAAGCAAGGAAAATTTCTCTAGAAAGATGAAGGGTCTTATGCTTCTAGTATAATAAAGAGCAGAAGTGAAAAAATGATTTTCTTTGTATAACGAATAGTGTCTCTTCAAAATTAAGTAATAGTTTTGGGTGGTCTAGACAAACTAGTTATTCAAAAGCTCATTTACCTGTAGATATCATTTTTTTAGACTGTAGAATTTTGGGCAGATTTACAATTAAAAAAATCATTGTCTACATTTAAAAATCAGAATGTACATAACAATTCTGATTCTTTAATTTTCTTGAAAACCAGGCAGATTTACCAGCTCTTAGCCTTCTTTTCTACAGGCACAGCGGATGGAGCTGAGGGATGGTTGCTGCCTTCCACTGACTCGAACACACCACCCAGCTCAACGGGCCTCGTTGGTGTTGGCCATCTGGCCCCTCCAGGTGTTTGCGCTTGCATGTCCCAGTCTAGTGGCACTGTGTCTGCTTTAATGACAGTAAGAATAAAAACGGTACCAGTAATAATAGCACACTGAGCACTTAGTTCCAGGCACTGTTCTAAGCGAGCCACAGAGATCATTCACTGCTTGAGGGAGTTATTATTAATACACCATTTCACAGATGAGAAAACAGACACGGAAGTTCAAGGACCCACCCAAAAGTCAACAGCCAGCATGTGGGATAGGAGAGATAAAAACCCAGGCAAATGTAAATGCACAGTCAGCCACAAAATATTCAAATTCAATGGTAATAAATTATTGTATATGAATCTATCCCTAAAAGTAAGCATCTGCACTTCAGCCACAGACTGGGGCTCTTCTGCAGTGCACCTATGCACAGACACGCACACCCCTGTGACCCCGAGTAGCTGTCTTCTTTCTTCTACCTTGCACGCTTCTGGCCTACGTTGAGTTCCATCTCTCTTCTGAAGCCATGGCCTTTGTATGGTGGGGAGGGCGTGGGGTCATGGTAGAGACCAGTCCTCACATTCATCTGCAGAAAACATAAAATGCATAGATAGGACTAACTTCAAGAAATATATGTTCTAACTTGAGATTTGCAATGTACTCAAAGGTTTTTAAGGATTTAAAAAGAAACGTGTGGGTGAGTATAAATGGAAGTTGTAGAGCATATCCAAGTCTGAGGGTACGCAAGAGATCAGAATAAAACAGCCATGAAAACCACTGAGAAGTGTTTCAGTTAGTGTGTGGAAGTGCATATGTGAAGATGTGTACATTAAGTAAATAGAGCTTTCCTAGAGGTCACCCTGGGCACTCTGGGCTCTCTCCTAAACTATCAGTGGGTGCAAAGAGTGCTTGACTGAAGAAATGTGCAGTGGAATAAACATGGAACAGAACGGGAGAATCCGAAAGATCAGAAAGAGTATGTGTCTACCTTAAAAAGAGTGAGAATTGGGGGAAAAAAACATCTGGGTTCTAAAAATGTTGATGCTGGAAAGCATATAAATATGAAGTAGGCATGAATTAGGAAAAAAACACATCAGTTGAGTCAAGATGAAATGGCATAAATAAATTATTGAAGTCAAGGATTAAAACTTTACTCGTAACTATCACAGAGGACCAAAACTTTTTCCTCCCTTTCTGACAGCATACTTGGGAAATGTGAAAGCTCAAATATCACGGGTGTGAGAAGTGGTTGCCTTGAGCTAAACAAAGATACTTGTGTCCATCTGGGGAGGCGAGTGATGGAGGATTACTCTGTCACAGTGATTCCAGAAAAAATCCATTCATTCTCTGAGCTATCTTAATGCCTTCCCTGCCTCCCCTTTTTTATTTTTTACAAAGTGCTGTTTCTGATGGGATGAAACAAAGCCATCTTAATGAGTTGGTCAATGAGCTTGAATTTCCTTCTAAATCTTCCTTGCATACCGGGAAAAAAATGAAACTGATGTTTACTGAATGCCCACTGTGCTACATACTCCTCCCGGCCTCTGACTGCATTACTTCAGTAAAATTATTACTGCTACTGCGTAAGGTGGGCACAATGAATACAGGTGTAGGCAAAAGTAGGGTTATGGTCGTTCATATGGACAACAATATGAATAAACTTTCACATACTCACAGCTATATTATTATTTTACTTCTCATATGCACAATGGTAAACCTACATTTGCCCACTTCATTTTTAAAAAATTCTTACCCGAGGATATGTCTTTATTGATTTTTAGGGGTGGGGAGTGGGAGAGAGAGTTGCCTCCTTATCTGCCCCAACTAGGGATCAAACCCCCAACCTCGGTATATTTCCTGACTAGGTATCAAAGCAGCAACATTTTGGTGTATGGGATGACTCCAACTGAGCCAGCCAATCAGGGGCCTACCTGTATTTTAAGGATGAATGTGAAGGTCAGAGAGGTGAAATAATATGCTCAGGTTCACACACATGTAGGTGGCAGGGCTGGAACTCAAATACTCTCAAATCTTCTCTCCATCCTCCAGTTGTGCTTTGGAATGACACTGACCTGGGTGAAAACCTGGTCCGACTACTTCTTACCAGCTTTGAGGTTTGAGCCCAATTAACCTTTCTGGACTTCAGTCTCTTCTTCTGTAATGTGAGGGAACGACACCAAATTTCAAAGGGTTGTTTTATAAAAATTAGTTTATTTATTTATTCATCCATTCAAATGATGGACCACAGAAGTACAGAAATGGGGGAGGGGAAGTAATGAAAACAAAGTCAATACATTTGAAGTTTTGACAGCATGAGAAAGAGTCCGAGGGTGGCAGTACCAGAGCAGCTGAGCTGGATGGGGAGTGGTCAAAATGTGATGCTTACAGGGGTGTAGATTGGGAAGTCAACGTAAAGGAGGTAACCCTGGGAGTTAAGGGCTAAGAATGTAGTAGGGATAGAGAAATGTTGGAGGCAAGGAAGTTGAGAAGCTGAAAAAGAATGAGAAGTGTATGCAAAATATCTGGAACTCAGCTGATCCTTTAGAATGCTAATCCTAAAAAGTAAAAAATCAGAAATGCAGGCAACCTGTTTCTTATCTGCATATTAAAAGGACTTAAGTGAAAAAGCTGCCCGACTGGAAGCCAGTGCATGTGAACACATTGTGCTTGATTGTTGGATGCTGTAGAAATGTGTCATGAAGGCAGAATGGTCCCATTCTGCACTCTACAGCTTAGTCCCTGTGTCCCAACACAAGTCACTTACACTCAAACACTTCTGCTTGAAGGTAACTACAGGTGTTCTGTTGACTGCTTTTGTTAACAGTAAACACAGTGAGGAACAAAAACCCCAAATAAGTAGGATGGGGGGAGGGCAGGAGGACCGGAGGAGGAGAGGATGCTTCTTTACTTCCATGGACTTTATTTTTACTTATACTAAAGCTTTTATTTTAAACAACAAAAACAGAAAACATTTCGAATCAAGAGTATGCCTGAAAGTCAGACATGAAGATGGTGGTCCCATTATTCTGGAAGCCAGACACAGGGTAAAATGGATTTTATAAACTTTTAAATAAGTGAACGAGCACAGTAGCCTATTAAGAAGTAGGGTTGAATGTCTGCCAACAAATCTAAAATTTCAGTGGCAATGTTTTATTTAAAAAGTGATAATAATATGGTCGCATAATATTTGGTGAGAATTACAATGATGGAAACTCTTAAAATTCTTATAAAAATTGGAATTATTTCAGTTAGGTTGTTGACATTTCTCATGACTGTTTGTTTTCCAATTCTGTATTAATGCAAATAAAAAATTAAAAATATATTTCACCAACAATAACTTCAAGGTTGAAAAAAGCACTAGTCACAAAGAATTTCAATTAAACATTAAAATTTAGCAGTCCAGAAAGAAGAAATGTTATGAGAGAAGTTTTAATTATAAATAATATAGCTGTGTATCTGTTTAAAGACTAAAATACACCCAACTTCACCAAAACACTTGTGGAAAACAACCATATATACCTTTTTTGTTCAAGACAAAATATGAAACTTGAAATAACTGCGCTATTTAAAAAAAAAAAGGTGACTCCCAAAGAAAGTTCATAGTATCTCATTCACAAAGCAAAAATGTTACATTGAAACAATTCACTTATTTTGGTCTTCAGTTACAAATAAAAAGCCGGTAATAATTCACTATAATACTTTTATGACAACTAGGAAACATTATCATCAGAAAAAAAATTTTTATCAATGAAAAAAAATCACTGATTCAGTAAATGTATTTAATCATTTTATTAACAAAATATATGCAAGAAGTACATCCCTCTCCAGTGAAACTTTTCTCTTCAAATAATTTTATGTGGAGGGCCTTGAAACGGATCAATTATATAAACCATGTTAAAATGAAAACATTTTTTAAATGTACAATACAAACCAGTACTTTATACAAGAATTCTTACGAAGTTCATTGATCAATGTAAAAAATAATTTGTTTGCACTGAATATAAGGCATGTTGAGTTTTGTAATTTTGTGTAGTTATTTTTTTTGCTTTGTTGGAGACTTCTCTCTTCGCCGGTCCTGATTTCTCTTTGATTCTCTGGATTGTTCAGAGTATCTGCTAGATTTTTCCCATCGCCTATCGGCACCATTCTGATACCTATCTTCATCGCTCCTAGAGTCTGAATGTTTTCTATTTTTTTCTCTTGATTTTGATCTATCTTTTGTTCTAAAATTTTCGCTGTTCTTATTTCGGTGTCTATGCTCATTTTCAGAAAAAGAATTTCTTCTTTCTCCTCTCTTCTTTTTGGGATCATCATACTTATTTTCCGCATCAAGGTGCGTTTCTTGGTCTCTGTCATTCGTGACTCTACTGTAACTATTTCGTTCAGAAGGAACGCCTCTGTCTGAAGTGTATTTTGTCATGGAATCTCTCCAATTTGGATCCCTTGAATTTTTATCTCTGAGTTTTTCTGATCTTCTTTCTCTTTCAGTCCTTGTTTCTTGGTGCCTTGGCTCTGACCTTCTTTCATCTTGTTTCCTATCATTTATTTGTTGTTTCCTGACCAATTTATCTACTTCTTTACTTCTGGCGTTGCCTTGTCCCTTCTTTCTTGTAGCTTTAGCTGCACATGTAAAGTAAAATACAGTTAGCTTTAATTTTGTAATTTAACAAACACATTTATTAATGTAATGCAGGTTTACTAATTCAGATAAACTGGACACATAGTAAACTAACTTAATAAAAAATCTGACAAAACACTGCACAAAAATTTTAAGAGTATACAGTATCTCAACATTAGTTACCAAAGTATTGTTTTGATTTTACACTCAAAACAGTTAACAGAAACTTTTAACCACAGCATATGTTGTAAAAACTTTTATGAAGCAGCGCAAATACATTCCCACTTACACATTTTATTCAAAAACAGAAATTCCAGCCCACGTGCACCATGTCCTATGAAACGCTGCGTCGGTCTGGTGCACAGTCAAACACAGGGTCACCCACAGCAGCAACAGCACTCCCCACCGGTGAGAGGGAGTGGGACAGCTGGGCTGCGCTTACAGCATAAATACACAGATTTCAAATAAAAATCGCCTCATATAAAACAGCAGTTTTTCTTCCAGTGCTGTTCAGGACTACAAACCGTACCACCAGGAGAAGCCGTGGTGAGATACCGTCACAGGCTTTGTAAGAGCCGCTAAGGCTTGGTTTCTGAGAAAACTCTCCCAAAAAGGCCGTGAACAATTTAATTTTACCGACAGAATCACAAAGATAATATTAAATAATTATAGTGCAATAACCATTTTCAGCTACAAGACAAATTTAATTGCTTTATTTGTGTTATTTAGTATGGATATAGAAGTCAAAGGTGCTGAAATGACCAAAACTCCTGTCACATTCACATGTGCCCAGAAAGAAAATGGGAGAGAAGACCACCTATTCTCACCCTACCTCCACCCACACTTCACTGTACCAACCTCTCTCCTCCGCCAAACGCCTACCCTTGAACAGTCAGCGGGTCTGCCACTAAGGACTTACTCCCCCATTCCCATCAAGCAGCGCAGCCAAACTGCAGGTACCCAGGCAGAAACCATCTGGCTCCGTGCTAGCTCAACACCTCTGACACTGCTCCAGAGCGCGCTCAGTGGTCTGCCGACACTGAAGCCCATGCCACAGAGTAGCATGTAATCTCCTCTCACCTTTGGTGTCTCCTTTATAATGTTCCAATTTGGGGGCAGTTCATACTGATTTCATGCTATTTAAAATTTTTATTTAATATTTTATTTATAAAACAAAGCTCTCTACTGAAATTGTGTGATGAGACAAATTAATTTTGAATCAGCAAAGCCTCCTTATTGCAGCAATTCATGCTGTGTTGTCATCTGTTCTCAAAACAGATCATGAAATAACAAATTCTTCAGAATTAAAAGAGGTGAAAGTTAAATGAACAATGTTAGCATATTTCAATTCAAGAAGACATCCCGTGAGCAAATGGAATCTTGCTCTAATAATATAAAACACTGAGAGTCCCAGAGATCTGGCTGCCACATAGTATGAAAAACACTCCCAAGTGTAACAACCCAGGGAATAAGAATAAAAAGACCAGGCTTCCAACCTTCTGAGACTACAGGAAAAAGTGCTCCCTCTCTGACATATGCATTAAAACAGTAATATGCATTTTATACAATTAGATTATCTCTAATTTTGACTGAAATACTATTATGAAAGAAAGCAGAGCTGACCTTGCAGAAAACAACACAGACCTTTTCAGAAAATGGGACATTTGAAAAAAATCTTTTACTACAGCACTTCCAGTTCCAAGTAGACTAAAGAAGGCTATGGAAGACCAGTGTTCTTGTTGAAAACCAACTAGAAATGCTGGACATAAATTTAAATCTTTTATTTAAGGATGATAAAAATCTTGAACAACCTGAGATGCTATAAAGGCAGGCAGTGCTCAGGAAAAGGACAGGGAACACAGGAGTCAACTTCAAGGAACTCCTCATTGCCAAAGCTGAAATGATCTGAACAAGCTGAATGATAGTACTGGACTTTAATCCACAGGATAACATAAACATCCATGTATCCACACTGATAAAATGTATAGTTAAATTATTAAATAAATGGGAGGAAGGGACAACTCTTTCTAACAGAAGAAATTCAATTACTAAATGCAGAAGAAGAAACAGAAAAAAATCATCAGCAAATACCACAGAAATAAGTGTTCCAGACAAAAACCAAAGACACATGCTAAAACTAGAGAAGAAAAGTTAAAGAGATTTGTATATCATCAAATTATCTCCCTACAAGATCCAGGTTACAGAGAAATACCTTTCTATGAAGAAATCCAGGGAACATTACCTTAACCAAGTTATCAAAGTTAATGTCACCAATACCTAAGAACACATCACTTCTATACTCTACCCAAAAATGTGTAAACGCATTCTAATCGTGAGAAAATGTCACACATGTCTCTATACTGAAGGACATCTACAAAATAAGTGACCACAGGACTTCAAGTGTGAAAGCCATTAGGAAAGACTGAGAGGAAGTATCACAGATTGTAGACAACCAAGGAGAAACAGAATCCTGGAAAAAGAAAGAAAACATTAGTGGAAAAAACTGAAATGCAAAATTATCAAGATCTGCTGTTTGGTTAATTGTATTGTTCCAGTATTAATTTCCAGGTTTTGATACATGAACTGCAGTTACGTAACATGCTAACAATTAGGCATAGTTGGGTGAGGGCTACATGGGAATTCTCTGTACTATTTTTGCAACCTTTTATAAGTGGAAAATTAGTTCAAAATAAAAAGTAAAAAAATAAGGGCATCAGAGAGCTGCTGAAAGAACTAGAAGAGTCAAGGCTCGAGAAACAGCGGAAACGGAGGTAAACTAACGTTCTACAGCCACTTTCCCCAGCGAGCAGCTGCTGATCCCGGCTGCTGCTGAAGCACAGACCAGCAGAGCTCAGGCAGCCGCAGAGAGACAAGAACGTAAGTGACAAAGGATATACATCCAAAATACAGAAAAAATCCCACAAATCAACAGAAAATATAAAAAATTGAGTAAAGACCTGAACAGCCACTTAACAAAAAGAAAATTTCTAAATAATCAGTAATAAATAAAATGGTGCTCAAATTCCTTAGTGATTGAGGAAATACAAATTAAAACCACAACGCAATGCCTTTTCACATTGACCAGGAAGGCTAAAATGAAAAGACGGTCAGTGAAGTGGGAGTGAGGCCAGGCTCTAAGAACTCTCAAACCTGGTTGATGGGGGGCGTAAGCTGGAATAACCACTTGGCAAACAGTTTGGCAGTATTTCCTAAAGCTAAATATCTGAATGACCTACAACCCAGTAAGTCTTCCTCTAGGTAATATATGTGTAACAGAAATGCATATGTATGCAATCCCAAAAGATATGTACAAAAGTATTCACCGGCATATGAATTACATCTAAACTGCCATCAGCTAAAAAGGATGTTAAATATACTGAAGTATATTCATGTGGTGGAAAACTATTCAGCAAGAAAAATAAATGAACTATAAATGCAATAATATGGATGAATTTCACTAAATAATTTTGAAAGACAAGCCAGACAAAAAGGAGTTCATAGGACATAATTATAACATTAAAAAAGACAAAACTAATTTATGGAATTATGAATCCTAACAGTAGCTGCCCTGAGGCAGCGCACGGGAGCAGCGGCAGCAAGGGGGAAGGGAAGGAGGAGGACTCCTACGGTACTGGTCATTCTTTTCTGGGAGCCGGCTGCACGGTGTGTTCTCTACGCAGCTGTACACTGATGAGACATGCACTAAGTGTGTGATAATAAAGCTTCCCTAGTAAAAGTAAAAACCAAAATTCCTTAAAATGTGAACACCAGGAAAGCTCCTATAGACTAGATTACAGACATTATGAATGGTATGAAATATCTTAATTTCTATGAAACCACATCTTCATAGAAGAAAAGGTAATCTCCACATTGTAAATGTTACAATTTGTCATAGACTGCAATAGTGACAGACAATGATTTATATTATTATTGTGGCTTTTAAACAACTGAACTCTAAAATAAGAAAGTAAAATTATTTATTTCTTTCATTGTAAACATCACCAGCAATACACTGATTAGAAAAGCACACGATCTATTACGAGTTTCAATACCTGAGGCAGAGCTCTGACTACTGGCTGATGAAGAGTCGCTCCCCTCGCTGGAAGACTCTGAACTGCTGTCACTGCTGTCCGAGTCGGACGCAGAGGAGTCGGACCCTGCAGAGGAGGATGCGGACGAGGAAGAAGAGGATTTATCGGGCTCAACTTCTGGTTTCTGCGGCACAATAACCTTTGGTGTATTTTTGAGATGCTCACGTAATTCATCCCTAATTAAAAATATAGTAAGTTAGATTTTGCTTAGAAGGTGATTCTGAGATAATTCTGTAAATTGAAAATAAAATTCTGAAAATAATCCTTACGTTAAACCTCCAAGACCTATAGAAGTAAAAAAGTTGATGGCAAACCGAGTATTTCTGGGATTATCTCGGGGTAATAACCCTTCAAAGAATGGCTGTAGGGTTCTAAAAAAAAAGAAAAGAAAATGAACAAAAGAAAACAGATTGCTTAAAGATAAAATTCTTTGCTTACAGGCAAAGTTCTTATATAATCACTGTTCAGATTTTCTATGTACTAAGTAAATAAAATACAACCGAGTAAATGATTTATGCAATTTATTAGGTTAGGCTACATGGTATCTAAGTGAAATGAGTAGGGTCCATTCTTTATTAAACTTAATTTATATAATTATACAACAGAGGTTTTTATAAACTTTTCTGTACACACGCCACACACACAAGGAGAATATATGTATATAACATTCACAAATGTGCATATATCTGAATATATATTCAGAAAGGCAAAAAAATCCTCCTGTTGTGTGTGTATATATACACATATATATTAACACACACATACATGCACGCACCCATGCAAAGACAACACTGTGCAAGGCACTGGGGGAGAGGAAGCAATCAACTAAATGGAGAAATCATGTTTATTGATTGCATATAATTATTATTTACTAGGAGGGGAACAAAAAACATTAACAATATAATGGGTTTTGAGTATCATAGTGAATGAGTAACCAGCAGAGTCAGAAAAAAACTGTTTCATAGAAAAAGGTAACAAGTGATTAAGAATGATTAAGAGTTTGCTGGACAGAACAAGAGAGGGATCTCCAGCTCTGGAAATGGAAGTAAAGAGGCAAGAATGAGCCAGACCTGCTTATTAACAAGCTCAGCAATGCTGGGGTGGCTGGAATGCAGCTTGTTGGAGTGGGCTTTTCTAAGTGAGCCTCAAAAAGTGGGCATGGACCAAAAACTGAGTTTATAAAGCCAAGGAACGTGGATGGGGTAGCACAGAGAGAGCATGGAGAACCCAGGACAGACCTCTGGTATACACTGGAGAGGCAGGCCGAGGAGAAGATAGGGACTGGGGAGAGTCAGGTGGAATGAAGAAAGTGAGGCGCCACAGTGAGCAAGTGGTCAACTGTGTAAGTGAGGCCAGGAATTCAAGGGGCATGAGGACTGAGAAAGACTACTTGATTTGTTTGACAAGCAGTTACCAAGAGATTTGAAAGGATAACTTCAGTAATGTGAATGGAGTAGAAGCCAGTATGAGTGGCAATGGGTAACCTGAATAAATAGCAAATAAAGCTGGAATAGAGACTACATAATAGTCCTGAGACAAGACACTAGGTCACTGTAATGACATGAACAATTACATTACATATTCATCTGTATATATTCACAACTGTCCATGATAATAAGAAGCTAATTATCATTCTAAGGCTCAAAATTAGGGTAGAAATGAAAATAAAACTATATATAATACTCATCATTGAAGAACTCCAGTGAGCATACAAAAATAATTTTCTGTGTTTTAACTGAATTAAAAGAGGCATTAATTCTGTGTTTCCTCTAATGAACTGAAACATCATTAAACACTTCATGTTGTTCTAAGTCACAGAATGAGATTCAGAGTAGTAACTAATGAAGAAAAGTTGTGGGTGCTTAACTCTTGCTTTACAACAAAAAATGGACATGTCCCTAAATTGAAGGAAAACCCCTTAAGACAGTAAGAATAAAAAGTACTTAATGATAAACTTACTCATCCTTTAATCTTGCATTAAGTTTAGGAAGACCCATGTATTCACACAGTTCTTGGAAAAATATTTTAACAAAAATTCTACTGGAGGACGTGGTGGTTTCTTCACTCAGCTTTACACATTCAAGAACCTGAAAATTTAAATAGAAAAAGACAATATTTGTTCAAAAGATAAGACAAAGTGACTAATATCTGTAACTCAAAGTTCCTCTTGAAATTATGACTTAGTCTCATTTTCAGTCAGAATTCTCTCTGAATATCTTCCCTTGTGCTGATGTGTACTGTACTACTTCTTGGCAAAGTTTAAGAATACTTCTCTGTGCTAATTTTAAAAATGTTAAGGTGCTACAGAAATAGAGTTCATTCTCTTTCTTGAGTAATGTGCTTTTTATAGCAGAGATATAATGTCTTGAGTATATAATGCTAAGTAAAGATTATGAGCTCCTAAACCTCACTCATCTAACTCTGGGTATATAAAGGTTTGAGACAAAATGCCATTTAGAACATCAGACCATAGTTCTGTTTAGCACATATAATACACCATAAAGGTCAAGGCAGAAAGAGTGGTGGCTTCTCCTGAATGCTAAGACTGAGGCTTAGACACTGAAGCTCAGAGAAAGATGTTTTAGAATCAATAAATAGAAGCAACTTCCAGTTTGTGGAGTTATGTGTTTCAGGAGACCTTTTGCTTCAACAGTTTAAAACTTTAATTTCATGTTCCCAAAAAGGGAAAAAATAAGAAAACAATTATGATTTGGCTCCTAGGTTAGCTTACAAAGTGCCTATTAATGATAACAAAAATCTATCCAATGTTTATAAGCTCAGTGATGTTGCTTCATTCTTCCATTAGACCCAGGTATTCTACAACGTGATCCTCTTCTTTCTTTCCTCCTGGATGTTATTTCTTTCTATTGGTGGCTAAAAAAATGGATGTTGAATGAACCGTAGTTGTACAATAAACGCCAGCTTAATGAATGCATTTCAAATTCTAGTCCAGTGTGTGATTCCTCATTAGGAACACCTTTCCCTGTTCTGCCTGTGACAGGAACTCCTCCCTATCACTGAACCAAACTCCATATTGGCTGAAAAGAACACATCCTGCCAGGACAAACATTACTCTCATGTCCTAACTAGAGGAAGCACTGACAGTCCCTTAGGAAACGAGCAGCAACTCAGCAATAAATTACTGCCAAACCGTGGTGTACATTAACATGAGTGTCCACATATGTGTACAGAGATAAAAGTCTACAATAATCTCCATGAAGAAACTCATAGACATTGCTATTACAAAGCACCATGATGTTTGAACTGCTAGTATCATCTAGAATGGTTATTTTTACTCTCATACATTTATGCACTTAGCTTTTTGATACCATGGTACATGAACATAACCTCAAAGACAGTGATTATAGTAAAAGTTTGCCACACATTTCATTTTAAAGTACATTTCCTGTGAAAGAAAGTATGGCTATATTATACTTAATACAAATCAGAGAATAACAGTGGATCAGGAAGAAGTGTAAACATTGACCTCCGTCTACTTACACTCCATGGAAGTGAATCAGTGTACAAAAGATGAGCAAACATCTTAGCAACATTCCTCAATTTGTTTGTTTCCAAACGATGGATGGTATCATACTGTTCTTTAAATATACTCTCAAAGGATTCCATGTACTCTTTCTTTAGCATGCAAAATCGCTAATAAAAAAAAACTGAATGTCAATACCATAAAATTTTGAATATCAATACCATTATGAGCATATTAAATCCTTCTAAATTTATTGAATAAAAAATAAGTATCTTCTACATCATTCTTTTGGTGCTATATGATAGGATGCTCAAAAAGAAATTAACATACATTATGCTTATCTACCTAGAATTTATAAGACACGATAAAATTATATAGAGCATAACAACACAAATGATACAAATCATGGACATATACATCTGTATACTATACAAATATATTTCTCTGTAGGTATAATTTGGATTTAAGTAATTATTTTAGCTTATGCTCTATTTGTGCTGCCTAACCATGCACCTGAATAAAGAAGCTGCTTCCGAAAGACAGTATTTAATTGTCCTCTTTGGAAATTTTTTACAAAGCACGTAGCATTTCACAAAGTTCTGGGAGGGTAACATGCAATGGTGAGGGAGTACAGAGACAAAGAGGGAAAGAAGGGGGTGCACGGAGCGGGGAAACCCGAGGAAGCGAAGAACAATTTACTTTTAGGAAAGATATGATTATTAGTCCAGACCAAAAGGCAGACACATTAATTCACAATATTCATGTTAAAATTCTTCCAGTGAGTCCATTTAATTCCAACAAGAAAAACGAGGCTAGAACTCACCCCAGCTAATAAGCCAAAAAATTTTTCGTATGTTCTTTGTTGAGCACAGCAGTCAAGTATCATGTTGCAGAGTTCTTTCTATTTGGAAAAAATAGAGTAATAATTCAAAACACAATGAATATATGTTGTATGATTACATATCAATATACAGACAGCCTAAAATTTAAGTAAGTTTTTAAAAACATAAAACTTCTAAGACTTTGTGAACTTTAGTGATTAGAAAAAATTTTTTAAAAATCCTTGCTAAGAGTAGTTTTTAAAAGCCTTCAGTCTGGCTGGCAGTTTCCATATATCATTCATGCTAATTAGATTGATTATCAAATTTAATCTAAATTTAGATTGCTTATAAATTTATATAAGTATGAACCACTTTAAGAGAACCTAGTATGTGAAACAAGATACATCAAAAAGAGATTAAGTAAACTGTATTTTAGAAAGACTCCACACAGAATTCTTTTAAATATAAGTCACCAATATGACATTTTACAAATACATCTAACGATTTAGTATATACCTGTAATTATATACCTTAAATAACAATTTAAACTCAATTATTAGGAAATATATATACAGTTAGCAAAGAAAAGGTAACACACGATAAGTCTTTACAGAAGTGTAAATAAGCACAAGCTTCAATATCAACTTAAATGACAGTCTGGTGGATAGAGAATAACTATATTTAAAAGAACAAAGAAAAAGATCTCTGTGGCTGAATTTTCTAGGCTCAAAATAAATGTTATGCATATAGACCTGTCTATAGCTTAATCTATACGAACAGATGGAATAATTTCTTAACTGCTGGAATAATATATTGTCCATTCAGCTATCTGTATTCCTTGAAAACTCCTGTGTGAAAATCTATTAAACTAATAAGCCCAGGAATAAATCCAGAGTCAGAAAATAGCTGATTTATAATTAATAAATATTGTTTATTAATCCCTGAAATAACCCTAATGAGAGATTTACTGATTTATAGCAATTTCATAGATGAAAAAACTCAGGCAACATAGACAAATCAATAGAGAAAAAATAAAAAAGACCTAAATTCATTCTGACCACTGCTGTAAAAGTGACTAAATATCTTTTGCTACAAAACACTGCTTATTGAAAAGTTTAAAATTTTTTCCAAATATAGTAACTGCAATGTATTTGCTTTCTGTAAACAGAAAGTAAGCTTATAAAATATAATGTATACCCCTTTAGTTCACTTTTGCTTTTATTTGATTTACTTTTATATTTTTAATTAGCAATTCTGACATTTTGCCATGTTTATTAACACCCAGGGATACAACCTAGGTTAACACTGCGAACATTAAAAAACCAGGTCGATACATATTTATTGCATATATTTACTGTAAGGGAGAGGAAGGGGACCCTGGAGAAGCACAGAACAGATACTCTAACTGTACTGTCTGGGATGGGAGCCTGCCGCCATATGTAGTTACTTATATTTACATTATTTACTATTACATAAGGTGAAATTTTAGTTCCTCAGTCACACTAGACACATTTTAAGTACTCAAAGGCCATTATGTGAGTAGTGGCTACTACACTAGACAGTGTATGAATATTTCCATCATTGCAGCACGTTCTTTTGGAAAGTACTGTTCTAGAAGCTGATAATCTACTTATAAAACAAGGTCCTCAAAGACCTCACTTCACAATATAGAGTAATTTTTAGATGTTTTGATACTGCTAGATTATTATTTTTTTAAAGATTGGTTGCAAATTACTTCAATTAAGTAAATGTTTATCCATGTGTAAGTTTTGAAAAGATGTACTTTGTCAAAATTTAATATAGTACTAAAAACTTAAAATGAGGCTTTCCTGACTTCTGCTTTATTGTTAATTTTGTATATTAAAAGGCACTGTCAGCTTTTCTAGTAACGTATTTTACAGTAAGAGTTAATTAGGTTGTAAACAGTGTAATATGGTAATGTGCTGGTAGTACTGCAATACAATAAAGTCAGCACTGCTTACAAAACAAATGACTTTCTCCCCGGACTATATGCAATTATAAGCGTTATTCCCTGTGGCTTATAATAACTACATATTTTAACATTTTAATTAAATATAGCTGTTTCAGGAGAGTCTTTTAAGTACATAAAAAAAGATACACTAAGACACTCTTCCAAATGTTATCGAACTATATGAGGTTAATTTTAATGTTATCCTCTAGATTATTATTAATAAAATTGATAGACTTCATTGTATTCCTCAAATAATATAACAAGATCATATAGTAATTTCAGTTTCAATTACAATTTTAAAGGTTAATTCATAAATTTATTTGCTTCCAATGACAACACATCAAGTGCACCTAGAATACAAACAGCACACTATTATTAATATACTAGTCAAAAAAATTTAAAAGGGGAAAAAAGTATTTTTTTAATTTGAAAAGAATAATTTCTTCTCAAAATTTCATACTACAGCATTTCAAGAATGAATCTAGATTCTAGTACAAAGGTTGGCAAAAGGTTACCTGTTTTCTGTAAAAGGTCAGATAATACTTTAGGCTTTGGAAACTATATATATGGTCAGTCTCTATTGCACCTAGTCAGTTCTGCTGTTATAGCACAAAAGAAACCATAAACAACCAATGGGCATGGCTGCATTCCAACAAAACTTCATTTATAAACATGAGCAGTGGCCTGGCCCAGTCTGCTAATCCCTGTAACAGACCATATTTAAAGCCTTAAGACAAAGGACTTACAGCTAATGGTAACTTAGCTCAGAAGTCAAGATCTTTTAGAAGAATGAGAAACCAATAATAGCCTATTAGACTCCAGCATCTGGGCTGGTTCTAGCACATGTAATGCAAGCTTAAAAAAATAAATAAGCCACCAAAAAACAAAAGCCTTGACTTAGGTTATAAGGACCTAAAGTCTAGATGGACTGGGAATAACATACGCAAGAACACGACTTAAAAATACACCCAAGATAATCTATTTAAAACAGTCTTTATTATCCTTGGCATAAAGTTCTATGATGTTTTGAATAGTGAAGTACACATTTACTGAGTTATGATACTATGAGTGCTATGGGCTAAAAGAGGTCTAATATGCACTTGATAAATTGTTGAATGCCGGACACCTTACCTGACATAGTATATGTTGAATTGCTTTTACGAATTTAAAACAATGATACAGATTCTTCATACCTAATTAAACAATGTAACACCATGTATGATGTTCTTTATAATTTCTACCCCAAAATAATGCTTTAGTGTGCAAAGTAGTTGGACCAGGTGATTCATTAAGCCACGATTTGATGTACAGGCAACCACTCAGAAATTTATGTACTGTGCGGTGATGCAGAGAGACAGCGTCCTTTTCCCACATTACTTTCAAGCAGCCAATTTAATTCACCGGTAAAAAACCCCGGTTTTTTTACCAGTGTTTGCTTTTACCAAACAGTCATTGCATTTAAAGTATCTTTCATATGCTTCACCTAAGAAAATCCCAAACTCAATCAATGTGAATTTGATTCAGGAATAATGTTAATATATTTGCACTTTTTGTGCAATGTTCAAACCCTCACTCTTTTGATAACAGTAGTATAAAATAATTACCCGCTATAATAGCAAATATGAAACATACCAGGACTAAGTTTTCAGTTATTTTAAATTTTAATCTTTTGTTATTTTAAACTTTTATTCATTGTAAATTCTATAAAATCTACATTTAAATATTTAGTACTAAGTTATAATTTCAATTCATGAAACCCATTAACTGTCCTTAATATTTTTGTAACCAATATATTTCCTAAGAGGAAAAAAGTATTAACTTACTGTTTGACTTTCAGGAAATTCCATTTTCAGCAATTTGTGAGCACATTCTTCAAAATCTAAACTGTAGAGACACAATACTCATAACTGTTAGGTTAAAAACTTGAAGCACAGTTAATTTATATTACTCAATTATGTATAAGAATCTTACTTTAATAGTGTTTTAAATATTTTTTAAGTTATAATTTCATATTATTATATTACGTATATGAAAACGACATAGCCCTTAACTCTACAATGAAGACAGTACTACAATATGGATGGACCTTAAATTATCCTGAGAAAAAGGACAGACACATAAGAACACATATACTATGATTCCATTTATAAGAACTGTCCTGACACAGCAAGTAGGCTTACATTTTTATCACACTACTAAATGATTTCTATTTCTTTATAATTTAAGTCAGTAAGTGGTAAAAGATGCTCCGGGAGCCCAATGTGACATGAAGTGCTTAATCACCATTTTTACAAGTTATCTTGATTAATAACCAAACACAGGGCTTCTACATACTATAAAAACTAAGTATAAAAATAACAAACAACAAAAAAGCACTTCCAAGTAAAAAAAATGCTTTTAAATATTCATTGCATTTAAAATACCTTTCATGTGCTTTACCTAAGAAAATTACCAAACTCAATCAACGTGAACTTGATTCAGGAACAATGTTAATATATTTGCACTTTTTATACAATGTTCAAATCCTCACTCTGTTGATAACAGTAGTATAAAATAATTACTGACTAAAATATAATGATTATGAATTTAGTTTTAGAGTTCATCTGCATTTCTCAGCTTCTGTTACTTCTCTGGTTTCATTAGAACAATGGGGTAACAACCCAGGATGATACAATGTAATATAATTTTTTAAAAAAACCCTAAAATATAAATAAATTATTTTAGGAAAATACATTTATCAGGAAAGTGCTTTTAACAGATACTGTTAAACTGTATTTAGCACTAAGCTTCAATAGTACAGTGTAGTTAAGAAACTTCAATAACAATACCAAAAAGGATTTCAAAAGATGTGACTTTTCCCCTAATGTATTATTTCTAAAATCTGTCTATCCATTTTTCCACTAAAGGTAATACTATGGGTACAGTACTACATATTCTATAGAGCTTTCCCCACCTAGTATTGTATCAGACCTCCCGCCCATATCAATAACACTCCATTAGCTTAATTTTCAATGGTGACATAAACTGGATATTTTGATTATTTGTGTTGAACAGTAATTGTCTCCTTTTTTGTACTGAACAATTCTGTATATAATTCTCTGTCATTATGTATGTCTTTAAGAAATATAATAATGGAAAAGAAGGGTCAAATGGAATAGACACTAAGACCTTGATTCATGTTACTGAAAGGCTTCCCATAAAGAGTCTATTAATTTAAATTCCCACTAATATTGTTTATGTGTGTCTCACTAAAATCATCATTAGTATTGAGTATTGCTGCTTTAATGAAATAAACCAATTCAATTGCTTTAGTGAACGATAACAGCATGTTAGTGATATGACTAATAACTAATATTTTTTGTTTTATACTCCATTATATAAATCTCCCAACCATACCCTTTAAATACCTTTCATCAGTCTTTTGTGTTTCTTTCCTAAAATTTGTATAAGCTTTTAAGTACATTAACTTTTGTCATATATAAATTATCTTTACTAGGCATTTAGAGGATGAGAACACTTAACAAATACCAGTATATAAGGCAGAAGCTACTGTGATGGGTACCACTACATAATAGTGGCTGTCGCTGTGTCTTAATGCTTTCATTTTCAAGTCTTCTGTGTGATTCAGAGATAACTAAGGTTAGGTCGACTTAAAAAAAAAAGGCTGCTTTTAAAATAATTATTCAAAGAGATCCACTGTAACTCTTCAAAGTATGGCAATATTAAAACAATAAATCTATTGTTACAACTGTTACTGTTGCATTTGTAAAAAAAAGGACATACACATGAAAGCTCAAACTCTAAGATTAGTTATCTATAACAAATATTTCTCATCTTCTACTGTAATACTGCATGAAAAAATATTTAATAGGTTTTTTCATGTAAAAGGCAAAGCAATAGGTAAGGATAAACAAAAAAATTTCTAACCAGTGTCTGCTGTTTAACTTTTCTTTCTGAAGATGAATCTAAGCCAAAAACTTTTCACACAGACTGAAAACAAGATGACTCCTACTTATGAATCATTACTGCTATTACATCACACTAAGTGGAAATATTCAAAACCTAGTAACAAAGAAAAACAGAAAACATTCTTCTTCCAGTGTAAAATGTAAACACTGTGCACACTAAGTCAACAGTTTGATTCACAAAACAACAGATGTAATAAACATTTAACATTTTCATTTACTTTCTTGAAAAGCAAACTCGCAGCCTTAAAAGGGAATAAGTTTTGTTTTCACGACATGATAGTAGTTCTTAGTTAATATTGCTCCAAAGGGTCTAAAAACCTTTCTAATTTCTATTTTCATTTATAGACATTTCCATCTGCACCACAAGTGAGTGTCTGAAAGTTAAAATAGCAGTGCTTCTCTCCTTAGAACTACAATTAGAAAACAAATTAGAAAATAATGAAATATTAAATTTCCACTACATAATTAAATACTGCACTAGCTCTGTAATACAGAGTTGTTTTCTGGTTCTTATTAGTGATATGTAACTATAAGAAATGGCATGGCTAAAACAAACGAGCAACAAAAAAATGCCAACCATCTAATTTTGTAAAACAGACTTTCCAAGTAAGTAGGATAATCTGCTTCTGAAGCAAAGAACCAACAGTGGGGATCTATCAGCTTGGGTTTGGGATAAAAGCAGAGAGGCAGGTACTTTGAGAATCCCTGTGATTGTATCAAGTTCTCTGTCATCAGAGTCTAAAAACCCCATTTCTTTGTTCATTTGCTATCAAAAGAATCAACTAAACTAGTTATCTTACCTTGACTGAATAGCAAGATAAATTGTACGACGAAATGAGACTAGATTAATTTCTGTCTTGTCATGAATAGTCACCTTTTGTCCTGAAAGAAACATAGAAAGTTATACAACTACCAAAATAAATGTGAAGAACTGGACATGTATTTCTATACAATAATTTTCTAAATACATTTAGGATTTATGAGATTAATAACAACAACATTCTTTTCTACAGTGTAAATTAGTTTTTGTAGAATTCAAAGGAACTATTTCAAGTCTTCTGCACATTTTAAAGTACTTTAATAAGTTTGTTAGAGAAGTCCAGAACCAAGCCAGGAAAACTATTCTTGTTTCTGTGTTACCTGCTCATTTACTTTAAAAAGCTGCACTTATGATGTTGATGGCAAAATATTATTTCTAAAGCTCAGAACAGTTTCTTCTTTATACAGAAGAACTGTAACTTATGGGTAGAAATAGTTTCAGAGAACAATGAGATTATCATGACAAGTTGGATGGATCCAATAAAAATATGTTCATTTGTCAAAAGTTTCTCTTATCTAATGCATAAAAACTTTCCTGTTAAATATTTAATCAGTTTATTTGAACAGTATTTTCACATGAAACAAAGAAATTCCAAAGTGAAATATCGTACATGAATAGTTAGGTGTTTTAAATAAGACAATGAAAAAATTAAAGTTTTTTTATAAAATACATTATAGAAGAACAATTATACTCTAAGACAGAACTAAAAAAATACAGTATGTCCTAAAAGGGAAAGATATACTTTTAAAATTTTCAAGCATGTAATACAAGTAAATAGTGACCACTGAGACTCACCCAAAGTAGTGAGCTCATTTTTCTGTGAAATATAATGTAATCAAAGCTGAAAAGGAAGAACTTTGTGCCTACTTTTGTATAAATATAGATTCTGGCTTCCCCAGTCTATTTTGCCAAAATGAACAGCAAATATCTAGTCATTCTCATCTGTCACATTAATGCCAGGGTTACATAAATTATATGCACTGAATATGAATGCACCTTTTTCACAGTTTATAATCAAAGACATAAGATGTCAAATTAAAATTATGCTAACGTTAAAAATGAATTTCCTTGTTGAATACTTTTAGGTCAAGGTTTTCAACCTTGGCAGTACTGACATTTTAAGCTGAATAATACTTTGTTGTGAGGTGTCCAGTCTTGTGACTTATTTTTATAAGACTGGACACCTTTTATAATTATATTTAACATCATCTTCACCTAGGAGGTGTAGTAGCAACCCTCACTCCCACATATTGAGAACCACTGTTTTATAGAATTACATTAGAATTAAATTAATTCCAAAGTATTTTACAGTATTATTTAAATGAGCTATAATTTTACCTTCTTCATCTTCTTCTCCCTCTTCCTCTTCTTCTTCCTCTTCCTCTTCACTACTTTCAGCATCTTGGTCTGTGTTTGAGTCACTATCTCCTTCATCGAGAATTTCTAAAAGAACGAAGTAAAATTAGGAAAATATTAATGAGCCAACGATACCCATGCAATTCATTCTGTGAAGATAATTCTCAGTTCACTGAAATCCAAAATGGTGCAACAGTTTATCAGCTGATCACACAGGCCTCCTGGTACCACCTCGGCAGTTAGAGAACATTATAACTAAATTGACTAGCGAGAGCCATGTATCATTCTTCTGACAGACGAAAAGTGACCATGAAACAAGGAATGGGTGAAAGTTTCCAAAAGAGCATGAATATACTAGAGTCAAAATATTCGTAGTTTATCATTGGAAAGAAGACAGTCAGCTTACACAGGCTTGATATAGAAAGCATGAATTAAGGCTAAGAATGTTTACTGAAAGACAAAAAGAAAAGAAACAATCGCATAATATAGCATTCATTTTAAATAAGTATCAATGAGATCTTTATTAAAATGGATACCTATTAAATAGAACATTACACTCAATCCAAAAACTTCTATATGTAAAACAGAAGCCAAAATTTAAAAGCACTTAAGAAAACTGGCAAGATAAGCACTTCACTGGATTATCACTTCTTAAAATACAACTCTCACTCAAACCTGGGTGAATATAGTGATGTAAATATGAGACTATATAAAGGCCAGTCATCATCTTAATAGTAAACAAATAACAAAAACTAAAATTGTATTTTGTCCAAAGGTGTGTGCTCTATTAGCCTGATAAAAGATTTTACAAACCTTTTTTCATTTCTATTATAGACAGAATTTTTAATCAAACATCGATGGCCAATTCATTTTTAGAAAAATTTTAATGTCTTTATATTTGCTAAGCAGTATAAACTAGGAGCCACATACAATACTTAATGTTCGCAGAGATGTCATAGTATGAGAAATAAATCATTTACAAATAATCATTCAGCCCATAGCAGACATATAAACCTCCTTGAGAATATTTCTAACAAATGTGACTTTAAGAAATAATCTGGGAGGTTGTGGCCAAGATGGAAGCATAGGTAAAAAAGCTTCACTTCCTTATAGAACCAAAAGAAGGACAACAACCAATTTAAAAACAATAAACAACCAGAACTGCCAAAAATCAAACTACATGGAACTCTGACAACCAAGCAGTAAAAGAAACATGCATCCAAACCAGTAGGAGGGGAGGAGACGGACAGCAGGGCAGAGAGGACCCAGCAAGGCAACAGACTGTTCGGGTGAAGAGGGGCTGGCTGAATGGGGAACCTCCAGCTATAAAACCCTGGGAGGGTTGCAAAGGTGGGAGAAAATCCCAGTCTCACAAGAGAGTTCCTTGGAAAGTAGGCTAGAGCGGAACAAGCAAGCAGCATTGTTCCCTCTCTGACCCCTCCCCCACAGACAGCACCACAAGGCAGTGAAGAGGGTTGCCCTGCCCTGGTGAATACCTATGGCCCGTCCACCCCCTTACAACATAACAGGTGTGCCAAGACAGAGAAATATGGCCCAAATGAAAGAACAGATGAAAACTCCAGAAAAAGAGCTGAGCAACAAGGAGAGAGACAACCTATCTGATGCAGATTTCAAACCACTAGTAATCAGGATGCTCACAGAATTGATTGAGTTCAGTCGCAAAATGAAGAAAGAAATGAAGACTATATAGAAACTGAAGTAAAGGTAAATAAATATACAGGGAACCAACAGTGATGGGAAGGAAACCAGGACTCAAATCAATGATTTGGAACAAAAGGAAGAAATAAACATCCAACTGAAAGAGAATGAAGAAACAAAAATTCAAAAAATTAAGAAGAGACTTAGGAATCTCTGGAACAACTTAAGAGCTCCAATATCCAAATAACAGGGGTGCCAGAAGAAGAAGAGGAAGAGTAAGAATTAAAAACTTATTTGAAGGAATAATGAAGAACTTCCTCAATCTGGTAAAAGAAACAGACTCTGGAAGGCCAGAGTCCCCCAAAAATTGGACCCAAGAAGGAACACACCAAAGCACATCATAATCACATTATCCAAGATTAAAGATAAGGAGAGAATCTTAAAAGCAGCAAGAGAAAAAGAGACAGTTCCCTACAAAGGAGTTTCCATTAGACTACCTGCTGATTTCTCAAAAGAAACCTTGCAAGCAAGAGGGGCTGGAAAGAAGTATCTGAAGTCAGAAAAGGCAAGGATCTACACCAAGATTACTCTATCCAGCAAAACTCTCATTTAGACTGGAAGGGCAGATAAAGTGCTTCGCAGATAAGGTCAAGTTAAAGAAATTCATCATCACCAAGCCCTTATTATATGAAGTGTTAAAGGGACTTATCTAAGAAAAATAAGAACTATTAACAGTAAAATGACAGCAAACTCACAACTATCAATAACTGAACCTAAAAAACAAAAACAAAACTAAGCAAACAGAACAGGAACAGAGTCACAGAAATGGAGATCACATGGAGGATTATCGGTGGGGAGGGGGAGAAGGAGAATGGGGTGGAAAAGGTACAAGGAATAAGAAGCATAATTGGCAGTCATAAAACAGACAGAGAAAGGTTAAGAATAGTATAGGAAATGAAGAAGCCAAAGAACTTTATGTACGACCCATGGACATGAACTAAGTGAGGAAGGAATTCCGGTGGGAGGGGGTTGCAGGGCGGAGGGGGGATAAAGGGGAGAAAAAAATTGGGATGACTGTAATAGCATAATCAATAAAATATATTAAAAAATAAATTGATATTAAAAATAATCTGAACTGTCTAGTTTATTATTACATAACATGGTTTAGACAGACTTAGAAAAGGAAACTATTTAGTATTCAATAGTAGGAAGACAGGCACCCCTGCTGTTTTCCCAAATGCTGTCAGACCTAAAACACAAGTACACTTGAGTCACTCTCAGGTGCTAATTACTAAAGCTGTGCCCACTTCCTGCTGTGGCCATTTTTTAAAATGCCAACTCTAGAACAATTTTATAAAAGAATGAAGGTCAAATGAATTGTCTAGTCATTTACATCATCTTCTCATCTGTTCACTTTAGAATCTACTAACTCAATTCACTTAGGCAATGACAACTGGACTTCATTAACTGAAGAAAGCAGTGGTTCCGAAGTATGGTCTGTGAGTCCCTGGGGGTGGGGGGTGATCACTGACCCCTGCCAGGTGGTCTGTGGGGTTAAAACTGTTTTCATAACAATAGGAAAACATGATCCACCTCTCCCTGCACTGACATCTGCAAGGATGGCCCAAGAGCAATGGGAGTTAACACTGCTGCAACCAGAGCACAGCTGTACGAATGCACCAACTGCACTGGCAGTGGTGCTCTTTGCTGCCACCGCCCTCTTGTGGTAGGGGAAAACGCAGCTCACTTGAGGATGTCCTTGAAGTAGAGAAAGTTACTGATTTTATTAGATATCAGTCCATGAATATAGGCCTTTATAATAATCTGAGTGACTGCTGTTAAAGACAGATGTAAGACGATGGCTATCTCAAGGAAAAGTACTTATGCAATCATTTGAGCTGCAATATAAATGAGTTTCTTTTCACTTTTACTTCAATGAATGGCTCACAACCTAAGTTGTTAGGTATTTGGCACACATTTTCAAATATAAACAAAGTGAGACTATCACCTCAAGAAAAATAAGTAACTGTATTTGCCACTATGATAAAATTAAAATTTTCTTTTTTTTGCCATTTTTAAAAAATTTTATTTAGTTATTTTTCAAGTACAGTTTTTTGTCTATTTCTCCCATCCCAGCCTACCCCGCCCGGTGCAAATTAAAAATTTCAAGAAAAAAATCAGAATTTTGGAAAATGTCTACCCACCCCTGTGAGCTTGATAGTTTCCTAATATTCAGACTTTCCTGATAAAATAGGTGATAATATTAATAAGGATGATTTCTTGATATTACATTAACAGGTTAATTTAATTTTGATAGTGTCAATGTGTTAAAACTTGGAAAATACACATAATTTGTTCAATCAGCATTTTCCAAATGACCAATGCAATATGCCACAAAATCTTGCATGAATAAAATATCCATTCAAAGTGACAGGCCAAATAATTTTAATTTAACAGAATATGAAAATTCATGCATAATATTTGAGGTTTCACATTATAATTTATCTGTAAGAAACTACTAGCTATTATATATCAGCACAGTGTCAAAGAAGAATATACACAATTATCTGAAAAGGCTATTAAAATACACCTTTCTTTTTGAACTAATTATCTGTGTGAGGCTAATTTTTTTATTAACCCACACATTAAAATGTACAAAATATAAAAATATGTCATTCTTCCTATTACATTTCTTTGCTGTGTAATTTTTATTAAAATGTTACTTACTAATAGGCACCAGGTCTACTATTGTTATTTTAACATTTTTTAATATTCTCAGTTTTAATTTCTAATAAAGTAAATGTTAATCATTATAACCCAGATAAACAAAAGCTCTTTACCGTCTTCAATAATTTTCAAGCGCTCTTGAGACCAAAGAGTTTAAGGGCAATAATCAAGAACAGTGCTTCTTTTCTGGCACTGGCCAGCAGCCTAGACCCTAAAGAGATGGATGGGGAATTCCCAAGTTTAAAAAGAAATCATAAAAGATACAATAAATAATTCATAAAACCATTTAGCATGTTTTAGGAAGACTAGAAAATGACATTCATTAGAAAAAAAAGAAAATAGCTCTAAGGAGTTCTCCATGTTTGGAAACATGTAGTCTGTGGCTGTTGCACTAAAATTCCCCGAGGAAATAGGCGTCTAAGAGGAGAACCAATTTATTGTACCAGACTTTTAACAATATATGGAAATGGAAAGCATCTTAAACCCTTCCTTACTTTTCACTTCAATATTCCACTTCTAAGAATAACCACAGATGGGGGCAGGCAGTGACACTGTTCTAGGTTTCTGTTCTCTCCTAGGAGCTTTCAGAACAGTGAGTACTTCTCAGGCAAATCACAATTCATGAAAATAAACTCATAAAGTCATCATATAATTATAATATGTAAGTATATATTTATCATGTAAATATATAAGTAGCCCTAGAATATTAGCTTTAGAAAAGAATGATACAAGTGTGAAAAAAAGGTATCTTCATTTAAATACTTGCTCTGTGACAATATTAAGCACTGGATTTTATTTATATTTATACAAACAAGAAACATTTACTCATATCAAACGAGTAACTTCTTCCAGGTCACTTAGCTAGTAATAGCAAAGATAAAATACAAGCCACAGTCTGTCCAAAGTTAATGCTTACAATACACTAATGGTGTACAAATAATAATTATCAATTTATGAAGCACTGATAGCTAGCACTGTGATTGGTATTATCAAAAGACTACATAAACCTGCTCTCAAGAAATAATCAACTAAATAGTACTTAACTGAATATTAAACTGGGTATCAGCCTTGGCTGGTGTAGCTTTGAGCCCGAGCCTGCAAACCTAACAACTGTGGCTGGATTCCCAGTCAGGGCACAGGACTGGGTTGCAGGCCAGTTCCCAGCACCCACGAGAGGCAACCATACATTGATATTTCTCTCCTTCTTTCCTTCCCCTCTAAAGATAAATAAATAAAGTTTAAAAAATAATAATAAAATAAATTGGATATCAGTTTAAAGTAGTAATTCTTGCCCTGGCTGGTGTGGCTCAATGGGTTGAGTGTTAGCCGGTGAACCAAAGGGTTGTTGGTTCATTTCCCAGTCAGGGCACACACCTGGGTTGTGGGCCAGGTCCCCAGTAGAGGGTGTGTGAGAGGCAACCACATATTGATGTTTCTCTCTCTCTCCCTCCCTTCCCCTCTCTAAAAATAAAATCTTAAAAAAAATAAAGTAGTGATTCTTAAGCAGTAATGAAGTCAAAGAAAGCCCACTAGTAATACAGGAATATTTCTTAAGAAGGATGAAACTTAAGAGTTACATAATTGAAACACAGGGAAAGAGGAGAGGAAAAATTATGTAAATAATAATGAAGTAATACAATGGATAAGCACTAGACCAAAATATAATGCATGCAAAAAACAGTGAAGGGAACAGCTTCAATTAGAGCAGAGATTTTATTTATCAGTGATCTACGGATCATTGACTTTTTATCAGTATTATATAACTACAAAAACTGCTTCTACTTATCCAAAATAAATTATGTAATAAAATTCTACATACCCTTCTTAATAGCTTTGTATTTCTCTTCATTCTCCATGAAATTAGGATCCATCTTGAAAACATCTTTAAAAAAAATAAATTGAAAGTGTAAGTAAGTGCTTATTTTCTGTGTTTACATTTGTTGGTCCTACTTCCCAACCATCACCCCTGACTTACTAAGAACATCTTCTGGATTATAGTCATCTTCCAGAGGGAGCATGTGGGTGAACTGATCATCTTCTTCTATTAAGTCAAGTCCTTCTAGGGTAACAGGGTGGTCTTTGAAGCCATCTTTCCTTACAGCAAACATCACTTCAATCATATACTGAACTCTTTTGTCAATTTCAGACTCATGAAGGATGTTTCGAAGGCGTTCAAATATAGCTAAACAGAAAGAAAAGATGTTATAGACGTTATAATACTCAATCAAAATCTCAGTATCAAAATAAGGATATGAACTTACCATTGATTCCTCTTGGTGACACTTGTGTTAATTTGAGTCCACATTCCTTAAGAAAACCAATAGCTACTTCAACACTATCATCTGTTGGTCTTTCCAGGAGCAAAGTAAGCATCTCTAAACACAGAACTTCATGTGCCTTAAATAGAATAAAGATATAACTGAATAGAGAAAATGTCTAAATATATATATATATACACACACACACACACACACACACACATCCCTACTATTGAGAATAATTTTAAGTTAGTAAATCTGGTCTTTGCAGTGATTATATATACATGATTAGCAAAGTTTTATAATGCATATAAAAATACTGCAAATACAAAATAAATTTATTCTTTCATTTCCATTATGCATCTATTAAAAATGTGACTTATCTCCACAAGAAATATCCTTATATATTATATAAATATATAGTATACATTATCTATGGGAAATGCAATTGACCTCAAAATATAAGTTAAAAATCAGGACTAATTTTTAATCTGAGATATTTTCAGTTGCTATATGAATAGTGATTCTCCATGAGCACAAATCTTTATATTCATTTTCCAACTCATTCTATCAGCAACTGTTAGACAGAAAAATTATACAATTATTTGATCAGAAAATATCTTAGTTTCTGCTTTGCAATGACAGTTTCAAATATATCCTCTCCCTTCTTCCTTCTCTCCCTCCCTTCCTTCTTACTAAATCAAACTACTTACAATGGACACATTCAAAAATTAAAACTTATAAACAATATCTGGTGGAACGGGAGTAAAATTCTACTGGGAAGCTTTACTATGAAAGAAACATGTTCAAAACCACCACATATAAAAGCCTTTCTGAGATCAAACATTTATTTAAGATGGGGAGGGAATAAGACTCAATCTCAACTCAGGAAATTAACTTTTTTACATTGACCACAAGATGAAAAATATACACCACCTTTTTGGGGAGAGGAGCAAACAGTCTTATAAGTGACAAGAAAGTACTGCCCTGTACCACAGGTGGGAAGATCTAAAACATTTATCATTTTAACTGTTTTGTGGTAATACCAAAAGTATCTCCAATATAAGTAAAATATACATTCAAAAACTGAAACAATAGCTGTGCTGATATAGATATGTAAAGTTTTTATAGTCTTAATCAGCAAGTTAAATTGTTATAGTATGGCTAACTAGGGTAAATCTAAAAGGTTTCTAACTGTAAACAATGGAAACAATTCTATGTAGGAAAGATACAGTATTTAATGTTAGTGAATTAAGTGTCACTTCAAAATTTCTCCTTTTATAGATATAATTATATATGATAAATATATTAAAAGAAACCTCTGAATATGAACAAGAGAAATTTTACTATTTTCAAGTTGAATAGAGCTGAATCAAATATCTCAAATACTGAATGAATACAAAATAAACACAAAAATTGAATAAAAATTATTTGTTTAAAAATGATTAAAGTTATCATCTACTACATTTTATAAACTGATTCTACAAATATATGGCTCTATGTACTACACAGTTGCAGGAACCTGGGTTTTTAAATCGGACACTATTAGTTTTTTATGAATACCACATGCGGGGAAAAACAGTAGAAAAGATATCAACTTTATTGCTTTATAAAGACAAAATTAATTACTTTCTCTAAAGAAATGATTTGTAGTTAAATAACCATTTACAGAATTAAGAGATCAACTTGATGGAACACTGTCTGGTTCTTCCTCATACTAAAGGTATTTATTACAGTTTTAAAACTGAAATATTACCAAGATAAATTTCCCAAAGACTACAACATCAAAACAAAACCTAAAATGTACCTAAAGTGTATCAGACCTGTGGCCTAATGTCAAGAAAAAGCTCCAAGCTTTGAGGATAATTACTTACCACATTTTGGTTAATAAGATGTGCCACAAATTTTGAAGCAGTCAGACAAAGTTGCTGAAAAGTGAAGGTAGAAAAAAGTTCATCTATAAACTAAAGCCAATTTTCATTTATCCTATAGCATCTACGACTTACTTACACACTCCATTTAAAATATGTAACATGTAGGATAATTTTTTTCATTAAGGTTAAATAATAAGGACTAAATACATGTGAAAGAATGCCATTTCTGGCAAAAACAGTTATAATTCTATAGCAATAGCCATCATTTTTGTAGCTCATTAGTGGCCACAGATATTTAATAGAACAAAGAAGTTCTCATGAAATATGCAGTTTAAAAAAAATAATTCCTATGTAGTAATCAACATTGCTCACTATTGTTGATATTAATTTTTTAGTCTGTCCTTGTGTGGCAATCTACTTATAATCCCATCATATATACCTTATCATTTCTTCGATAGCCTTTTCGAAAATTAAGAATTAATCTCTTGAGGATTAATTCTCCAATTTGTGGAAATTTTGAGTTGATAATCGCAACTAATGCTGCATAAACATGGGTGAAGATTGGAGAAGCACTTTGTGCTTGCAAAACAGATCTGGACAACAGGCCTCTGTTTAAAAAAAAAAGTCGACAATAATCACCAACTTAATTAGAGAATAAATATCTCAATTAAAATACAGTGATATTATCCCCCTATAAATAATCACAAATGCTAAATCAGAAATAAATTTACACCACTTTCCGTAGGGTGTATGTCTTCCTAATAAATAAAGACTGCTTTCGAGAAAATAAACTTCAATTTGAGCTTTTATAAAAGATACAGATTTTACCACAATATTTTCTTCGAATTTTTCTTGAAATGTAATTCTTCTTCTCCAGTTTGTTATACCTAGTTACAATGTGAGATTTTAAACTTCTTAGAAATAATTTAATATTTTCAAAGCAGTGAAAGAAAAAGAAAAAGGCCTGCATCAAAAGTACTAAGTTTAGACAATGTAAGATTTCCACTTTTGGTCCATTACTTTACGTAAATTAATGTGATTAAAGACAAATCTGAGCAGTTCCCATCATTAAACCTATTTTCAGTGAAATAAAAATGAAGATGTGAAATACTCATATGAAAGATAAAAAAAGCTCTGCGAGAATAATGCTGAAATGGTGACAGGAAAATAAAAGGTTCTCCTTTAATTCATTTTGAAATAAGCATGTTTCTATGTGTATTTGATAAGGAGAGAAGTGGGCTAAATAGTTGTTTTTAGCAATGTAATGACAAATAATTACTGGATTGCCAAAATGCAGGAAAACATTGTCTCGGTAGTTCTTATGTTCATGTATGACAACTAAATCGTTAGAGTAGAAAATGAGAAAAAAGAACTAATGAATTATAAGACCTTAAGCAACCCATATAACTGTTCTGAGTCTGCTTCTTTCTCAGTAAAATAAAAGAGCTCTACCTACTTTTGAGAACAATGGCTGCCTTTTGGTCACCTTTGTGCACCCCCAATACATGCTACATCTTAATTATACCCTCAAAGTTTTTTGAGATAAGAAATCAGGGTTGTGTGAAATGACACAAGAAAATAGCCTTCAGATTTTAACATAATATACAGAACAAACACAGGATATCTCTATTTCCTGACCCTTTTAAACACCACAATTTCTTAAAACCACATAGAAAATACTAAGTCATTCTCTTCTGCTTTTCTAAAATTTATTACTGATCTTCCTCATTTCTTTCCCATTCTCACTTTGAATCATTAGAAATTAAACTTGTCTGGGGTCATATATATGCACACACACATACATATATACATAACCACATATAGTCGATATTCCTCATAAGTCTAAATTATTTGGAAGTATTCAGTTAATAAATGTGCAAAAATTATTACATCACATCAAAGCTTCAAAAAGCAAAAACTCCATATAACCTCGAATAGTAAAGTACAGATTATTAGTTAATAGCTTATATTTTTATAAAAACTGCATTTTAAATATTTTCAACTTCCTTTGAAATAAAGTAGAATCAATGATTATTATTCATGTAGTGATTATGTTCCTTTAAAACAATACTATGAAGACTTCCAGTCAAGATGGAGACATAAGCAGATACATTTCATCTGCCTGCAGAATTATAAGAAGGATCAAAACTAACCCCAAAACAAAAAACTCCCAGAGATGCTAGAAAACTGAACTGTGTGGAAGTCCAATAATCAACTATTTAATGAATTCATTCAAAGGGTGGGTTGGGAGCAGAGCTGGGGAGCCAAGGGAGAAAGAATGCAGTGTGGCAATGGGTGGTCCCACGCTCATGTGTGGTGGATAAAAATCAGGAGGGTGCCTGGTGAGCCAGTGATCCCAGTCCCAGGCCAGACTGAGTAGCCCAGGGTTCCAGTGCCAGGAAAATAAAGCCCCATAACTTCTGGCTGTAAAAACCCATGGGGTTTAGGGGTAGCAGAAGAAACTGGTTGTTCAGAAGAGTCTGTTTAAAGGGCTTACATGGTCCTAGAATGTAAGCAAACCTACCCACTCTGGGAACAAACACTAGAGCAACAGCTAGAAGGGTACCAGTCACATATGGGAGGTGGGTAAATTGGCTCGGAATGGGGTGGGTATGGAGCAAGCCTTCAGCAGCCAGGCAGCAGCACTGTCCACTCTCCAACCCTTCCTTCACATTTAGAGCCACAAAGCTGTGAAGTAGGTTGTCCTGCCCTAACAAATACCTAAGGCTCCACCCCATAAAACTTAACAAGCGTGCCAAGACAGAGAGTCAAAGCAGCTCTACCTAATATACAGAAACAAACACAGGGAGGCTGCCAAATGGAGGAGACAAAGAAATATGATCCAAATGAAAGAACAGAATAAAACTCCAGAAAAAGAACTAAACGGAACAAAGATAACCAACCTATCAAATGTAGAGTTCAAAAGACACTGGTGATAAGGATGCTTAGAGACCTCACTGAGTACAGCAAAGCATAAGGAAGGAAATGAAGGCTACATTAAGTGAAATAAAGAAAAATCCATAGGGAAACAACAGTGAAGGAAAGTAAGCCAGGACTCAAATCAATGATTTGGAACATAAGGAAAAAATAAACAGTCAACCAAAAAAGAATGAAGAAACAAGGTATCAAAGTAACAAAGGGAGAATGAGAATACTCTAGGGCATCTTTAAAAGTGCCATCATCCGAATCACAGGGATGATGGAAGAAGAGGAAAAACAAGAAATTGAAAATTTATTTGAAAAAATAATGAAAGAAAATGTTCCTGATTTGGTGAAGGAAATAGACATACAAGTCCAAGAAGCACAGAGTCCCAAACAAGTTGGACCCAAGGAGGAACACAGCAAGACACAACACAATTAAATTACCCAAGATTGAAGATATGGAAAGAATCTTAAGAGCAGCAAGACAGAAGAAGTTACCTACAAAGGAGTTCCCTTAAGACTAGCAGCTAATTTCTCAATAGAATCTTTGCAGGCAAGACAGGACTGGCAAGAAGTATTCAAAGTAATGAAAAGCAAGGACATACAACCAAGATTACTCTATCCAGCAAAGCTATCATTTAGAAGGCAAGGGCAGATAAAAGTGCTTCCAAGACAAGGTAAAGCTAAAGGAGTTCATCACCCTTATTATATGAAATGTTAAAGGGACTTACTAAAAAAAAAAAAAAAAAAAGATAAAAACTATGAACATTAAAATGACAACAAACTCACAAGTATCAATAAATAAATCTAAACAATAAAACCGAAAACAAACTAAGCAAACAACTAGAACAGGAACAGAATCATAGATATGGAGATCATTTGGAGGGCTAACAGCCAGGAGAAGGAGGGGGGAGATTGGAGTGAAAGGTGTGGGGATTAGAAGCGTAACTGGTAGGTACAAAATGGACAGTAAGAATAGTGTAGGAAATGGAGAAGCCAAACAACTTATATGAATGACTCATGGACATGAACTAAGGTGGGGGGGAACTACTAGAGTGAAGGGGGGTACTGGGAAGAGGGGAGCAAAGGGGGTAAAATTGGGACAACTGTAATAGCATCAATAAAACATACTTAAGAAATAAATAAAAAATAATAAACTAGTATGAGATACCACAAATAAAATAGCTGATGCTTACCTTCCTCTAACTATGTTTTCTTGAAGAAGTTCTTGAATAATAATACCTATATTAGAAATGTTGACTTTGTTGATAAGACCATTGATTGACTTCTTTAGGGCTTCCCAACTCATCCTCTGGTATGCTAAGCTAAAAAGAATATATTTTAATAAAGATTAAAACTTAGTCAACAATCAAATGAGGTTATAATAAGAATGTAAAAAATATTTAGTTTTTTATTTTTAACGTGATTTTCACAAAATGATGCCGAAATGCTGTTAAATATTACTAAATAAACACATACACTATATCCTATGCTATTTGACTTTTATGTACACATAATGCTTATATACAGACTGCTTCCCTTTAGTAACATAGGACTACAAAGGATATGTAAGGATAATCTTTGTTCTTATGATCGTGATCATGCATACTGTCATTTGTAATGTTTAATTCATTAGTCAGATTCGGTACATGCTTACTTTATATTGTAGCAATTCATGAAACTTTATATTGTAACAATTCATGTAACAATTGTAACAATTCATAAAATATTCTCTGAGAATATTTTAAAATAAAAGCAATTATTTTTATTTCAAATAATTATCTGAAATATCCACATATAAATAAGAAAATTTTTGTTATGTCTCTTTTTGTAAAAGCATAACAGAAAAAAAATGTTTTAAACTACAATATAAAAATAATTATAGGAAAAAGGGAAAATCATGAGGCTGAAAAACTTCTAAATATTTTAAAGAACATCTGTACATTTATGCAGTAATTTCACGCTATATCAGCTGAATGTTAGTCATACTCTTTTTTAACTAAGATTTGAGGTAAATTCTTTAGACTAATTGGGTTTCTTTGGTTGAATGCAATGATAACAAAAACTTTTTAATATTAAAGTTCTAAAATTCTGTGGTTTTTATAATTATTTCTCTGTGAATATGATTTCAGATGCAGTCTTAATTTTTTATTTTTACATATTGCTCTCTGACGAAGCTGACAGACTTCTTGGAATAATATATACAAATACATAGGCTTACAAAAAATAGCAATCATACTGAAATAATAGTTTTTAAAAACATGAAAAGAGCAAAAGTTTGATATAGTATTCTCTGTGTTTCTTAACACATTAAATAATAAGAACTGGTAGTAAGCCTAGTAACTATCTTCAGGGAATCTACTTAAAGTTTCATTTACTGCTGACTGTCCACTGTATTCATGAAAAGACTTGGACTAGCAACAACGTTTCTGGTCCTTTCCAATTAGGACTGCCTTGGACCGGACTGCAGACAGTAAACACTTCTCACTAAGGCTGCCACTACTGCTTTCTATAAGAGCTACAAGCCTATAGGACCATGAAGCTACCACGAAGCACAGAAGCCATCTCCAAATCTCTTCTCCACATAAAACACCAGGCATCACTACCAAGTGCTGGAATGTGACACATAAACAGAACCTTGTAAGTTTTAAATTTAATGTTCTCTGATGTCGCTTTCTACTACATATTTATTTTAATTTAATTCACATTTTTGTACTTTATTTTATATGACATTTCTACTACAAGCTCATTCTTGAAACAAATTTAATTTCGTTTAAAGTTCTCAAGTTCTTTCAAGTTGCCATTAAAAAATCCAGGAAAGATGCAGGAACACTTTCTTGGCCCATCTAGAATCCATTTTTCTAAAAGTACAGCTATCTTCTAATTTTTTTTACTAACTCCCTGGCAACTGTGTGACCATTTCAATCTTGAACCATATTTTACCTAGATAGTATCTCTTTCTATTAGAGAAAAAGGTCTTAAAAACTTAGCTGTACTTTCCTATATAATGCCTCAACATCCCAATTACTTTGAAAAGGGAAGAAAAGGTATTTTGAATGTGAATATGCATACATGAATTTTGATTCTTTGCCTTGGTGTAGCAAAACATTATAGTCTACAATGTTATGGTCTAAAAAAGGAAGGAAAACAGAAAATTGTCTACTTAGCTTCATGGATTAGTTCAGGGGTTGGCAAACTATATGCATGAGTCAAATGCATCCCACATTCTGTAGACTGTCTGTACAAATAAAGCTTTATTGGAACTAAGCTACTCATCTGTTTATGTATTATCTATAGCAGTATTCCCAACAGAGCTGAGTAGCTACAACAGAGATAGAACAATAAACAAAGCCTTAAGTGTTTACTATCTGGCCTTTACCAGAAAAAGTATACCAACTCCTGGTTTGGTCAAACTGAAAAGATTCATTTTAGGTCAAAAATATCAGTACTTGATTATCCAGGAAAAATAGACACTACTTATATGCAAGCATGCAATTAGGAAAGAAATAATGTAAAAAGAGCTAAGAGATCTTTCCTCACATTTTTTAATTCATATGCATAAAAAAATAAAGAAGTTATGAGCTAATGTCAAGGCAAATAGCATGAAAACGCCAAAGAAGCTTATAGAGTAAAAAAGGAAAGAAGTCTAATTTGAGGGTTCTAACATCATTGCGGACTACTGTAAATTCTCAACAGTCAAGGTTAATTAGACCACAGTTGACTTTTTTTTCCAATGAGGGTATCTTTGCCTTGTACACTTAGTGAAAATCAACATGCCTGTTTTTATCTGTAATCTGTTCTTGCATCATCCTGAGCTTTGCAGGAGGAATATATGCTCCACCAGTACGAGTAAGAAGAGGATCCAGTTCATCTTTCTTCTTCTTTGCAGTAGGTTCATCCTGAGCAGAGGAGCTCCGGGTTACCAGTGGTTCTGGGCTTCTTCTCCCAGGGGATGGGGATTTCCGGGACCTTTTCCGTTCCACATCTCTCTCTCTTTCTCTGCGTTTTTCTCGGTCCCTACTTCTGTAACATTAAATTTTTGAAAATGGAGAAGACAATATGAAATACACTCTTAAATGTATTTCTGTATACTAAATGAGTGAAATCATAAGTGAGTCCCAGAAATTCAGACAAGGAAGTGGTTTGGAATGGTGAGAAAGTGCTTCACAGAAAAAATGTAACGTAAATTAGGTCTTTAACACTTGACAGAATTTATATTGAGGGCAGGAAGGGGAGAAGGGAGAGGGAAGGGAGACTGGCTTTCTGCAAATAGTAGAAGACAGAATAACTGCTAAAAAACTGAGCAAATGTGTCCAGGCCAGAATGAAAAGAACAGTATGGAAACAATAAAGAATCCTGTGTAATAATAGCTGAAAGGAAAAGTTCAGCAACACACTAACTTTTTAATATTGGGGATTCATCGCTAGTTTTTGAGTGGGATAGTTACATGAAAATGTTTTAAGAAGACAAATTGGCCTATGATATAAATAATGAATTAAATAAAAGAGAAAGCAGGGTTATTTCCAATACTGACAATTTAAGAGAAAAATTATTGTAGAAAATGTAACATTTGAAATTATTCTTGACACAAGTGGTATTTTTATTAGAAATCTCAGAACATTAGAAGTTCCTGTGTATTTCAGACAATTTTCAAAGAAAATCAATCATTTCCTAGCCACAATTACTCTTCCCTACTAATGTAGGTGAGTATCCTTTCTTAAGCTAACACTTTAAAGTAATCAAAATATTGTTCTCTGAAACTATCAAGAACTATCAGAAAAAGGTATATATCCTTGCTTTTTATTACTTTTCCCTAGAGATGAGTTTGTCCACTTAGCTATTATTTACATATACTTCCTTGGAAACTCAGAGCATTCTGCTCATGCTCTGTATTACCAGAAGTTATATAAGCAAAGTAGAAGCAGTTTCCTATTATCACCATACAGATTTTTAATATTTATTTATTTGTTTGTTTGTTTGTTTTATTGGAAGGGAGGGAGAGAATATCAATGTGTGGGTGTTTCTCATACATTCCCTACTGGGGACCTGGCCCACAACCCAGGCATGTGCCCTGACTGGGAATCAAACCAGCAACTCTTTGGTTCACAGGCCAGCACTCAATCCACTGAGCCACAGCAGCCAGGGCAGATTTTTTAAAATTTATTGAATATTAGAGACAAAAAGAGAAAGAGAAACATTGATTTGCTGTTCCACTCCTTATGGATTTACTGGTTGCTTCTTATATGTGCCCTGACCAGAGATGGAACACACAGCCGTAGCGTATTGGGACAATACTCTTAACTAAATGATCTATCTCGCCAGGACCAAATACATTTTTTCTATAGTTAAAATTTCTAATACTAACCGTGACTCCATGCTACCATCATAAGAACGTCCTCTTCTTGAACGCTCATAATCTGACCTGCTGTAATCGAAGTAATCTCTATCCCGAGGGGATCTTTCTGGTTCTGCATGTCTAATATAGAAAATAAAAAAACCAAAGTTGAAAACAACTGTTACATATTTAAGAAAGTCATTCATTCATAATGTAAAACAACTCTATGGCTAAAAAAATGTGCTATCAAATTTTTAAGAGACAGCTCATTTTTTATACCCATTCATTCAGTCTCAATTATAAAAGATTTCAGTCTGTGTACAATAAAATCAACTCTGGAATTCATGTAATCAAATTTGCCATCCTGATTCACACTGTACTTAGTAAAGGATATATAGATATCACATATAGTTAGCATGAAATCTATACTGCAAATGCTTTCTGGTCTCTATAAAGACCAATTTAACTCCACTGCAAAAGACTTTATTAGCTATTAACTTTGAAACTACGTTTTTGGACAGCAGTGGTAGTGAACTGAAATTACTAGCACACAAGGATGAGTAGTATAAGACCTGCTATTTGAATTTTAAGAGTCAATACAATCAGAGAATCTCAAGAGAAGTGAAACACACACTGACATAATATATAGTAACACAATCCATATTTTACATACATGTCTATGATTAATTTATATACAGTCATAGACCTATGTGTGTTTGTGTGTAGAGAGATTTTAAAAAAATAGACAGTAGGTAACTGATGAAAGATGGTAAATAGTTGCAAACCACTGTAATTAATTTATCCATTAAACAAAGGTTTTTAGAGACAGCAGAGTGGAAGAAGAAAAAAGTGCATATGAAGTGAGGAAGAGATTAGAGAAATGAAATTATTTTTAATGGTCACAGTTTACTAAGAGAAATAACTGAAGTCCCCTGTGAATGCATAATGAATATAATGGTGATATTTCTGGATCTTTGATCTTAACATGATTATGATGATATATAAAAATATTTTAAAGACTATAAAGACCTATTTAAAGGTAAAGAACAGTAGTAACAATGAAAAGCAAAGCCTCAAGATAATGTGATTTCAACTCAATTTTCCATTTTATACACTCCTTCTATCTCATATTGAAGATATTAAAGTTCTTCACTCTCACTTAAAGAATTACTTAAAATCTAGAAAGTTTAGAATAGTCAGTCAAGAATGATTTATTCTCTGGCACTTGGCTACTGTAAATTGTACTGCTGTGAACATAGAGATGCATAGGTTCTTCTGAATTGGTGTTTCAGGATTCTTAGGGTATAATCCCAGCAGTGGTATATCTCACCTATAACTGGAACCTAATCAACAAAACAAGCAAACAAAATATAACCAGAGACATGGAAATAAAGAACAAAGTGACAGTAACCAGAGGGGAGGAAGGAATGGAATAAAGGGGGAAAACAGGGGAAGGGCCATCAAGGAACATTAGTATAAAGGGCACATGGACAAAGCCAAAGGGGGTAGGTTCAAGGGTGGAAGACGGGGATAAGTGGAGTAGGGGGCAGGTTGGGGAAAAATGGAGATAACTGTACTTCAACAAAAAATTTAAAAAATAATTTTTTACAAAAAGAATGATTTGCCCTCAAGCCCACTCAAGTAATATTCTTTATAAAACCATAAAAAGAGAAGTTGTTCAAACTAAAATTAGAAACCTAAGAACTAAGTGATTTCTTAAGTTTATTATAAAATATTTAAATTGAATTCATTACACAGAAAACTGTTTACCTATCCTCTGGAGAGACGGTCCTCTGATATGAATTACTGTTTTCCCTTCTGTCATGACCTGAAGAATGCTTTCAAAGGGGAAAAAAGAGGAAGCATTTAAAAAATTATGTTAAAAAATACATACACAATGAAATATGCATCTCAGAAAATTGAAAGTGCTTTGGAATTACTTCGAAGTATTTTGTAAAAATCCATTTTTGCAATGGAGCAAATACCCTTTTTAACCCAAAACATTTAAGGTAGATAAAAATTTTTCAAATTTTCAATGCTACTTAGATGATATTTTATTTATTAAGTTTATATAAACTATAAACTTATAGAACACCATTTCTATAAAAACATCTCCTGTTGAAAAATAAGATCAAAGCTTTCTTTTGGTAAATTACATGACTTAGGGCCAGATGTTTTCTAGCAAGAGCTCACTCTTGTGGTTATGCCCAAGTCTTAACTCTGAACTTATCTACTTATTCCTTTGGCTTATAATAACCACCACTTTAGTCCAGGTTAAAGAACCTAGATAAAATAAATGATTAGAAGAACAAACTTTTATATGTTTATGAAATTCATTTTTGTTTTAGGGAAACATTGAGTGGCTGATATGTATGGCACTACATTAACTCTAAGGATTTGAAATATTTGATTCAAAAGACACAGCTCCTATGTCAAATCCTTTGAAAAGGAACTGACATACAAATAACTTCAATGTACCATGAGATTGAAGAGACATGTCACATGAGACAGAGACATGAATCATCTAGTTTGTGAACATATCCTAACTTAAAAATCCAAATATATTTAAGAAGCCAAAATACTTATCTCTATAAGTAGGTGAATTGTTTTATAGCACTGGTCAACATTTATATTCATAAGCTTTTTAAAAAAATTAAAATAATTTCATTAACCTAAGAAAAACAGTAAATTTAAAAAAGTTATCTTAATCTTAAAATCTAAAAAGTAAAACAAATAATGAGTAATGTGTTTTGTATACTTACATCCTTGTCTCCTTAAGAGGAAAAAGGTACATTTAAAAATAGAAAATTATACTGCATAGAAAATAAACAACTGCTCAAACTTCCTCTTATTTTATGATGATGTGATTAATAGAAGTTTTAGTCTAACATTATCACAAGTAAATTCCCAGTCTCATTAACTACTGAATTTTTCAAATAGTATACACAAACCAGATTCACCCATGTAAGTAAATAAGCATGTGATCAAATTTACAATTTACAGTAGCTACAGTTAGGCTGTTATTTTATATTCAATGCAACCATCTTAAAACCCTGTTTCTAATGTGTGTAAGAAAGCTTTAAAATTATTTCACTTAGCAACACAATAAAGTAGAAAAGTTCAACATGTATACATAGGTTTCTATAAAACCTGACTTTAATATTTTAAGCCAAATATGGAGCACAAGATTCATTCAATTCATGGAAACATCAAACATAGTATTTACTGGTGATTTACTGTAAGACAAAGCCCTTCCTGTGTAGACACTCTGAAGGATACAAAAGAAAAGCCCTCAAGAAATTTATGATCTTAAAGGAAAAAGATTATAAAGCTTTCCAAAATTAAACATCAGATTACATGTTGCTGAGAGAGAGAGAGAGAGACAGAGAGAGAAGGAAAAAAGAGGAAAACAAGGAGGAAGAGAGAAAGAGATAATAAAACTGCAAATTCTACTTTTTTTTTACAAGGCAGTGCAATTATTTTGATTACATTAGAGAGATGGCCTCAATTCTGTGCTAATGATCTTTAACACATCTCCGCAACATCTGTTGTGAGCAAGAAGGAGAAACCAAAAATATTGAAGTCGTGAATAGGGATTTCATAAATGCGATCAAGTTAACAGATGACTGGCACAGGCGGATGTGCTAGCAGGAGATCTGGAGTATGGCACGATCACTGTTACAGAGTACTGAGGGGTGACAGAGGGTAGGGGGACCTGAACTGGGCTTTAGTTGCTGAATAGGATTTCATTAAGCGAAAAATCATTTTGAGGTATGATTCAAGTAATAATAAGCAGAATTTCTCGATTTCCTTTATCATAGAGTTTAGACTGTAAATCAGAGCAGTAGTTGAAAATAACATATTGCCAAAATTACCTTAAAAATTCTCTAAGTTGTTTATCTAGCAAAACAAATACAGTACATCATTCAATCACTTGTAGTCTATCAATGCAAAAAGCAGTACAAGGAGGTGAGTGAAGCAGGGAGCCTGAGTAAAGAGGCTCTGAGCATCCATTAGGCTCAGGGAGCAAATCTTCAAGAGCAAGGGACAGGAGGGCCTGAAGTAGGTAGGGGGCTTGCTTCCAGTTACCCAAGGAAGCTACAGTTAAGACTCAATGTGAAAACAAGGGATCCTCAGCTCCAACCTCTTGAACCTAACAGATGAACCCTCAGCACATCAAGGAAAGATCTGAGCCTCACCTGAGGTAACACTGAGTCCATCCCAGATAGTGGACCTGTTGGTGGCTAGCAAGATAGAGAGCGGGAGGCACAGTAAACTGAGAAGTGGGCCATGGCCAGCTAGCTCAGTTGGTTAGCACATCATCCCAATATGCCAAGGTTACAGGTTTGATCCCTGGTCAGTGCACATACAAGAAACAACCAATGAATGCACAAATAAGTGGACCAACAAAGCAATGTTTCCTTCTCCCACTCTTTCAAATTAATTTTAAAAAATTTTTTTAATAAAACTGAGAACTGACTGGGAGGTCCAAGCCACTACTACGTGTAAAGGATGCGCTGACTGAAGACACCCACTCCTAGGTGGAGGGGGTATCACAGAGGACCCTGAGGAACACAAAAGGGAAAGGTGGAGAAGCACAGTCTAAGAGGAACAGGAAAAAGACTCTGACAGTGATTAAACACTTCTCTCTCTATATAAAAGGTTTCAGTCTAAATCTGAGTGCCCTAATCTAACATGGCTCAGTCAAGAGTCAGTTCCACACAAGGTCTTCTTATGTCCCCAGCTCCTAATACCATCTGCCACTTACTAGGCCCACAATTAATTGTTTGAGTCCCAGTGGAACAATGAATACAAGTCCCAAAGAGGCAGATTTCAGTTAACTACATATAAAAGTTGTCTACTGACACATGGAGCTACCTTAGAGATGGCAAGCCTCCTGCCCAAGGAGATATGTAAGCACAGGTGGGATGTCTACCAAACAGGAAGGCTGGAGAACATGTCTTCTCATAGTCGAAAGAATTTAGAAATGATGGCGGCAGAGCCTGCCTCAGTCTGTAAGTCTATCAATTTAGTTTATTAAGCACTTAGCATGCACCAGGTTTTCTACCTGGTGCCTGCTGTTAAGGAGCTCACGATGTACTGGTTCTCTTTAAAGGAGGGTTACAGGTACACAGATCATGGAGAAGAGGAAAGGAGAGGTGCCTAGATTTATAATTAAATAAAAATATGCCTTCTCCTTTAATCACTCTGAGACCCAGGAAGTGATGTGCCTGCTTGTAGATCCATGAAGTTGAAAAGAAAAAGAAGTGAAATGGTTTGATCTCCCACTAAGTCCACCCACAGCAGGGAAACAGTTCTGAAAGGAATTGGACTTACTGACCTGTGACTGCTCTGCCCTCATCTCCTACTATGCTCCCCTTTTCATAAACTGCTGCAGCCATGCTAGACTCTTTGTATTTGCACTTGCTGTTCCCTCTGCCTGGCACATGCTTCCCCCAGACATCTCCATAGCTAACTTCCTCATATCCTTCAAGTCTCTGCTTAAATGGTTACTTTTTCAATGGGGCTTCCCTATTAAAAATTGCAACCTCCAACGATACGGATCAACCCTGACCCATTTCTTCTATTCATAAACACAAGTCTAGCACTTAACACTCCAACATAATTTACTTACATTTTAAGTTTTACGATTTTTTCGTCTCCCCCCACTAGAATACAAACTCCATGAGAACAAGGATTCCTGTTTTGTACACCTTTGTAACCAAAGTATTTAGAACAGTCACTAAGACACAGTAACAATTCGGCAGATATGTGTTGAGTGAATACATGTCTACAGGAGAATACAGGGATAAAGAGCTCACTTATACATGTGAACTATGCAACAAAAGGCTTACCTATAGGCAGATCTGCAGGAACTGTGACCAATTGAGGACACAGTTAATTACATGCTCATTCAAGAAGGCATGTTCTTTAAGAATGGTGGAATTTCCTGCTGATACTATTTTTGTTTTTCATGTGCCCATTCACATGCACTTCGTTGACTGATGCAGATACTAATGAGCATGTGTACACACACACACACACACACACACACCCTGTATGTTCTGTCAACTGTCATTTCAAACACTATTACTCCCATTTGACCAAGTATCTACATTTGAAATTGTGCAGGTTATAGCTCAGGTGTCTGCTTCTAATGTCCAAATTCTATAAATGCATTTTTGTTTAAAGGATAGGTAATTAACTATAAGTTCACTTTTTAATTATAAGTTTCAAGCACTTACTTTTATCTGTGCCACACTACTTTTCATCTTCTGTTGCCAACGGATCCTATAAATCAGCTCGTCCAAATAACAAGTACCAAATGGTATGAACTGTCTGACAGTTTACTTTTTCTGTCTGCAAGGGTCACCTATAAAATATACCAAAAAACACTATGTTAACTTTGACCACTTTAGTTTTGTGAATCAATAGGTTGAGATACAATTAACAACTTAAAAATCTAAAAAATCCTTAAATAGTTCCATGTAATGTATATAGAGAATACATATTAGTAGAAATGATGCTGAAAAATGAGCAAATAGTAAAAAGGACACATTATGCACAATAAAGTATTTTATTCTAATGACTGATAGGAACAAAAGTTAGTAACTGATGTCAGATAACTTTATTCAACTTGTCCTCAGTGAGGGATACTTATATCTACATCATAAAACAGCACTGTGACATTATTAAAAAAAAAAACAAGTGAACAGAGGAAACAATTATAAGAGAAACTTTGTATAAACTGAACATAAATTGTCCAATGTTTCTATATAAACTAAAAATGAAATACCCAATGTTCTTGTAATAATGATCACTCAGAGATAAATATACTTTGCATGAAAATATAAGATGCTATAGCAATCAAGTCTTAATATGATTTACCAAAGGCACAAGGCTTCAGACATATGCACTTATGAGAACCAGGCATTTGGTTCAGAATAAACGAAGTCATCAACATTAAATGCTAAAATAAAATGTGTTTCAATATCCATCTGTTAAATTTTAGGAATTTTTGAAAAATTCTGAATGTTATGTTTATATAGAACTGTCATTTAAGTATTTTATTGGAATTATATATCTAAGTGGTATAATTATGGTTTATGAAAACTGCATATTTAAGTGGTTTTTAGTATGGTATATAGAAACAATTACAAAAACAAAATGAAATAGATGAAAATAAAATTAAAAAACAGATAATCTAGAGCAAGAACTGTGCTCAGTACCAAAATAATTGAATACAATCACGAAAAAATTTTAATTTGAATGCCAGAAAGGATGTTATAGATTATTTTCTTTTTTTTTAAATCCTCACCCAAGGATATGTTTATTGATTTTTAAGAGCGAAAGAGAAAGAGAGAGAGAGAAATGTCAACGTGTGAGAAAAACATCAATTGGTTGCTCCTGTACGCAGCCTGACTGGGAAATGAACCTGCCACCTAGGTATGTGCCCTGACCAGGAATTGAACCTGCTATCTTTGGGTGCATGAGACAGTGCTCTAACCAAATGAGCACTCTGGCCAGGGCCAATTTCTTCTTCCTAAACATCAGAGTACTGAAGGTCAGGTAAGTCATTTCAATGACCTAAGTAAGCTATAGTAGTGGTGAACATTAAGTAGAAAGGTAACTTGAGGACATCCAATTAAATATTCTTCATTAGACCATGTACACAAACAACCTCAACACTATAAAGTAACACAGGGCTGCTACCATTTAAACAGATGGGGACATAGAGGACAACTAAGTGAAGGAAAGTTTCTATTACAATGGTTAGCATGATATCAAGGTTAGTATACGAAATATACACGAGAGTCTTTACAAATTTATCAATGTATAAAATATAATTTCAATCTAAAGCACACTACCTCTGACATATTTGCAGCTGCAGATAGGCTAATGTGCAGCTAGAGGACTCCCAGATGGGAGGGAGCCAAAGAAGGGGAGCTCAAAGTGCTGGTTATGAACTCTCCCGAATCTGACTCTTCCTGTACCAACACATGCACAAAACAGAGTCCTGCTAAGGATCAAAGAACCAAACTCACATGTGAACAAGCTAAAAGAGAATTTGCAATTTGTGTCTAATCAACGTAACTGCCTAAAAAGTCACTAGTTCTCATAAGAATGTAATAGAATCCAGTTTTCATGTAAAAAAACCTCAACTATCAGGAAACTGTTAGTTTTTCTGTAAACGGCCTAATCTTAAGAAAAATAAAAGACACCAACACTGAGATGACCCAGATGTTGGAATTAGCACACAAGGTTTTTAAAGCACATTAAAAAATGCACCGGAAAACAGGTTTGCAAAAAATAAAAACAGAAAATGTCAGGAAAAAACCCCATATAACAACATAAATCATGTAAGAAAACAAAACTGAAATTTCAGAACTAAAAAATATCCTAAGTGAAAAATTCACTGGATAGTTTTAACAGCAAAATAGAGATTAAGGAAAATCAGTGAGCTTGAAGAAAGATGAAAATTATCCAATCTAAAGAACAGAATGACAAAAAAAATTTTAACAAACAGTATCGGGGACATGTAGAACAATATCAAAAGGTCTCATATATGTGTCAAGTCCAAGAAAAGAGAACAAAACTGGGATAGAAAAAATATTTTAAATTTAAGAGCCAAAGCTTCCTCAAGCTTGTTGAAAGGCATAAATTTATTCATGAAGCTCAGAGAATCCCAGAGATAAATCCAGTCTTCATATTTATCCCAGGCAGGATAACTATAAAGAAACCACACTTACACACATAGATATAGGTTATGTATATTAGTGAAGTCAAACCACTGAAAACCAAAGATCAAGACAAAATCCTGAGAGCAGCAAGAGAATAAAACAAACCTTACATAAGTGGAAGTAGCTATTGAAATTACTGCTAACTTCTCATCAGAAACTAAGGAGACTAGAAGACAGAAGAACAATCTTTAAAATATTGAAAGATAAAAAAAACTGTTAATGTAGGATTCCAGCAAAAATACTCTTGCACTACAAGAAATGCTAAAGGAAGTTCCTTGGGCTGAAGAGAAATAAAACCTGATGTAATTCATTTTTTCAGGAAGAAATGGAGAACACTGGATATGGTAACTTTCTCAAGAAACAAAAAAGACTACTTTTTTTAATCTAAAAAATGCAGGTCAGTTTAAGGTAAAAATGATAATATCTCAAGGAGTTACAGTGTGTGTTCTAAAGACAGAACCATTCACTGCTCCAGCGACTCTCCAGTTTACACCCTCTGCCCAATCCCTGCCCCGCCTCTGATGACTGACTACCTGGAGCCTCACAAACTATTTCAGTTCCCTTTCTTAACCACACCCTTTGAGGCACCGCGTGATTCCCTATAGTGTGCTTTCTTCCTTCCTGCAGCAAATTAATAAATTAACTTTGACTACTAATTAAGTTTCTTACTGGTGAGTCTTCATTGGTGGGCTTTAACGTACAAGACAAATGACCCACTTTCTCCAACAATTCCATGGCATGGAGGACAAAAAAGAAAGAGCAGGACAGTTATAGAATAAATGAGACTAAACAAATATGTGGATCTCGAATTGAACAATTTGCCGTACTTTCCAATGGGATATTTTTATATAGTAAGAACCCATGTTAACTTGAATTCAACACTAGCTCGAATGATTAATATCTTCTATCCAGCCTTCTTTCTAAAAAAAGGGGAAAAAAAGTGAGCTGAATCTCTTATCTCTACATTGGGAACAAAATAATGGAAGAGAAACCTTTCTTAATCCAGTAAGATTGTAAACTTGCTGACAATTATCATATTCACATCATGGTTTTCTGTGCAAAAGAATGAGATCTGGGTGGGATTTGGAGTATCAGAATTACCGGCATTCTTTTACAGAATCCTACACTCTTTAATGTTCCCAAGATATCTAGAGATTAACTAATGAACTACATTTCCTGTTTCAGAAATTAAAAATGTGTAACTTAGAATAAGATAACGATAATGAATAATGATAAATTATTGCATCTACAGACATTATACTAGGTACTTTTATTATGTAATCTTTTCAATCCTCATATCTATTCTACTTTGGTGGGGTTTTTTTTTAAAGAAAGAGGGGAAGAGAGGGAGAAAGAAAGGGAAAGAAATATCGACTGGTTGCCTCTTGCAGGTTCCCCAACCAGGGAAGGTCCACAACTCAGGCATGTGCCTTGACTGGGAATCGATCCAGCAACCTTTTGCTTTCCTGGACAACGCTAAACCAACTGAGCCTTGCTGGTCAAGTACCTTTTGGCCTCATTTTTCAATGAGAGAACTGAAATACAAAAATTTGAAGCAATGTGTCCAAATAAATTACAGCTAGTAAATGGCAGAGATAAAACTCAAAAAAAGTTTAAATGTCAAAACTATCCACTACTCCAGCCCAGTGAAAATGCCAACATTAATAAATTGACACCAAACTGGCACATCACACAATGTAAACAAGTATGGTCTCTAAAATCCAGAAAATGTTCCTATTTTAAACTGATGATTCTTCCAAAATTCCAGATAGCAAAAGTTTTGATGTTACATAGTGAGACACTACTTCTTTTTAAACATCCATAATAAAAATTTTAAAGATACCTTTTAGTCAGCCTACCTAGAATTCACTATGACTAGATATAATATGACCAAAGCACTTCACTCTATTGTGCAAAATTTAGCATTTTCCTTTGAAATTCCCCTACAATCTTAAATCTAGTTTCTCTTCTTAACCTACCAACAAGTTTTAAAAAGTGTTTTTTTCTATATATTGCGTTTCAAATTTACCTTACTTGTTTAAATTCAGTGAGTTTCTTTCTGATCAGTGTCATCTTTTCTCTCTCTACCCTTTGACCATCATTATCAAATAATATTCTGGCAATTGAGTAGTTTGTCACATTTCCATGTCCCAAATGTAAGTGTGAAATTAATAGTATAGTAAGTAGACTGCTACTGCAGTTCTAACAAAAGAAAGAAAAAATGTATAAAGTTCTATCACCATCCAGATTTACACAGAATATGCCTCTAGGGAAATTCTGAGAGTTCACCATGTGCATGCTTGATACTTGGACTAATTGGAAATCCCTGCAAAGAGGGCAATTCATCCAGAGTTTATAGCTCTCACTGCTCTTCTTAGCACCACTATGAGGATTTTATGATGAATTATTAAATTTCTCTCTCCTTGTCACAAGGAAGCAACTCAGCAAAACCAGACCTGCTCTCCTGAGCAAGGAGATTTTAAAATAAGGACATGCAGTTTAAAAATGGCGATCTTTCTATCCGTTTTACCAAGCATCAGAAATCAAAAATTCTAATAACATATAAGGACTTTAAACTGTTAACTGAAAACTATGAAACTGCAAATTCTATAGTTGTCTCAAAAATTCAAAA